CTACTTGCAACCTATCCTTTTTGTTCGTCGTCGTCGTCGTGTAGATAAGAATAATGATTCCGAGAACGAAACTGTTCCGAGAAGTTTATCGATAAAAAATAATTTCATGCATCGCGCGTACACCAATACTCCTATTTTATTAGGTTATTATGTATATTATCGATATTTATGAATTTAAGACGGTAAATGGTAATACTTGGCGTTATCTGATTTGTCACGAATTCGTTTCCGGGCAACGCCGGGTAATTCAGCTAGTACCATATACGTGCACTATGATTGAAATAATTAAATGCGATGAAACATTTGCTCTAAACGGCGAAATACTTAGATTTTCTTTGGCATAAATACATCTTCAAATTGACAATTAATTGCTATTCTAATACTGCTGTTTTCGTTTGTTGGTTTTTGAGTTCTTTCACACAAAATACAGCTGACCATAATAACAAAAATATTCAAAAGAACAAAAAAAAAAATACAAAATAAAAATAACTAATTAGGATTTAGGAGTTAGGAGAATTTAGGATAAGAGGAGTTAGGAGAATATAGAAATACCTATTTAGGACTTGACCAACATAAATTACGTACGTTAAAATGTCTGTGAGAATTGAAAATGGATAATCAAGTACGAGAAGTATCAATACGAGAAAGTACGATAATTTAATCAAACCACGGAGATTATAGGTGAAGGTATTACAAAACAGTAAAATTAACTTGAGTTTATTCACTAATTAAATTTGATCTCTCAAAGTTCGTCAAAAAAGTATAAATTAATTCATATATGAATTAATTAATGGACTTAGTTCAATTTTGTGCTCAGAGCTGGAACTATAAATTTTTCTGAGGGGGGGGGCAGTGTATCAAACAATTTGTCGACTGATTATTAAGAAAATGCCGGCTACTTTTTAATACCTCACTCGTAATATTTTAACGCCATATTGATTGGCCAACCACAAGGTTGATTCCTCATCGGCCGTGGCGACACCGCCAGCCTACTGGCAATTTTCTACTTATTTAAGCGAAAACGTTTGAATATTCGCCACATTATTAAAGAGCGCTGCTGTTTACACATGTTGAAGATTAGGAATTCATATGATATATTTACCACTGCTACCATGACTACCAAGTTACTTATTAGCAGAGTTTGGAACTTACAGCATTTATATACTTTTGTTATTCATTGTAAACTATAGCAGTATGCAATATAAATTAATTTCTCGTTACCATGAAATCAAAATATGTATTTATGTTTTTGAATATTTCATAGATTTTGCAGTAAAATACTTATTATTTCGCTTTTGTTATATGTGTTGTTTTATTTTTGCACATTTTGACAAATACATCAGAACCAAAAATTATACATACATTTTAACCGATCGGTGAAATTAAACGAAGCACCCAATCGAACAAAATAAAAATATATTGTGTGTTTTTGTTGTTTACAACTCACAGATCGTTATGATTTCTGTACATAGTGCTCACCGCAAAAAGTGGCCCATGACCGTCATTAACCTAGCGAAAATTTCAGACAATTTCTGTAGTTTCAGACAATAGACATTCCACGCTTTCAAACGTGATACATCGATACGTATAGCATGTGGCTGCAATAACCGGTCTAGTTTAAGAACCCGTAGCTAAAAGGCTGAGTATGTCGTGCGGGTCGCGGTGCCAGTTTCTGTGGCAAGGACTGTAATACAGTAATTTGCAGGACTTGAATAATAATGTAATAATAAATACTTTTCGATTTTTCATAGCTTATTTTATGGGTTTTTAGTGAATATTTTAGCGCTCATTATCGTGTTTAACGTGAAGTTTCGAACCTTGCTTTTTAGTTAATAATATTACTTGTACTTATAATAATATTAGTATTTGATTTGAAAGAGTTATTAAAAATGTTACACTAATTATCATAATTATTTCTAAAAATATTATAAATATAGTGATTATTATATTGGTATGTTATTATATTACACAGGGTGACTCTTTTATCGTTGAACATTCATTTATTTCGCAAATTATTGACTTTTTCAAAAAAAAAAATTGTTTAACAATTTAAGAAACAAGCAGCTCTAAAATTTTACTTAACCGTTATTTTTTTTTTGGGAGGGGGTGGGCGGGGCGAAACGATTACCATATATTGATATTCAAATGATGGTATCTTACATTAAAAGTTCCATCAACAGATGGAGTGTAAGTTTAAATCGATTTTAATGTTGATTTTGATTTCCTTCAACCCATTCCCGGGATAATCGACTTTTGAGTTTAAGTATGGGGAGAGCAGTGGAGCAATATTCAAACGCCGCGCGCCTGGGCGCCACACAAATGATACTTTACTACTTTCAGTGACCTATATTTTATTTGAAATATATAAATTAATATAGAGTAGATTTAGTAAGATTAGGACTCAATGCTATGAATTATTAATTAGTGCTATATAGAGAGCACAAAGCCATGGTTCAGCGGTGAACAGATGATATGGGATAACAGTGTTATCACTTTTTTAAATATAATACTATTCAGATAATATATTTTTCTTCTAAAATACGGTTTGACGTAAATAATTTGGGATTATTTATTTTTCGACAGTTATATTTTTCTAATAAAATATCATTCCAACAAAATATGTTCGTACTTTATACGCGTCCCCCACTTTTCCCATACCCAAACTTAAAATTGGTATGTCTCGTGAGCGGATTGACAGAAATCAAAAATGTCTACACCAAAATTGATTTAAACTAATACTCTATCTATTCGTAGGACTTTTATTGTAGGTTATCATTTGAAAATCAAATTTGGTAATCGTTTCATCCCCGAAAATAAAGACGACAAAAATAATGTAATGTAAATTTTAGAGCATTTTGTTTCTTAAATTTTCAAAAAAAAAAAAGCCATTACTTTGCGAAATAATTAGTGGTCAACGATAAAAAAGAAAAATCATCCTATATACACAGACACCCACCAATGATGCAATTTTGTACTTGTAGGTATTCCATACAATATAATGTTATTGTACAATAATTATTGTAGGAACGCGTGTATTATTTTGTTCCTCGTAGATAACAACAATAATAATTATAAAATATTCCATTTCTTCCGGGGTCAAAATCTTAAAAAAAATATATATAATAATAATAACACGCTGTTTATTACTGCGATGTCCTCGTCACGGTACACACACGGATAAAACTGCAACCTACACTTGTTACACCTACACTGCAAGAAAACACGCGATTATGATGTCTCGTTCGTGTATTTAATAAAAAAAAAAAATATATATATAATAATCGTCTAGACGGTATAATATATCATATTGTTTATATTATTATTAAACAGAGCGACGACGGTGGGTGCTAGGATCTGGTATACTAAATTATTATCTACGCTATACAGAAACGACGAAATATTCTACCGGGACGACGAAAGATTATCATCGGGCGGAAGACTGACGTTTGAGTTGCCGACTGTACGAATCGGTTTGGATCCATGGGCATCTCCAGGCGGGGGAAAGAAGAGGCATTTGCCCCCCTGGGTTTCCAATACTTATATTATGCAGTCTCAAGTTCATCTTTCGTGATTTCTATGATTATTATGGCGATAATACAGCGCCATTCTAAAACCTGTGACAAATATATTATAAGATGTATCGGTAGACCTCTATCAAGTCAACAAACATTCATTGCTAAAAATGTCCGATAATCATCGAAATGACGATAATGAAATTTTTCAAACATTATTTAACGAAGCTGAATTAATCGCCACTGCTATAGATATTTGTATTACACGTCCAAGAACGGTAAAAACAGTCACTAAGAGCAAATTATGAAACTGAAAGTTGTGAAGATTATTACCGAGTATCAATTTTTGTATCATATCTTGATTCAATTACACAATTTATAACAATTATAACAATATCTTCACCGCGAAAATTGTAAACAATTCGAAAAAATATATTCTTCGAGGTCGTTGAAAAAGTTTACGATTTCTATAAAATTGATAATCTACAAGCTGAAGCAGAAAGTTGGTACCATTTTTGGTAAAATTGGAACTGTCAAGACATTAACTTTATTGATTTGTCAAATAGTAACTGTAGATTTTTTCCAAGAATAGTAATTGCTTTGGAAATATGTATGTCCCTACCAGCTACAAGTTGTACAGCAGAACACTATTTTAGTACTGTAAGGCGTGTTAAAAACACGACTTTGATCAACGATGGGTGACATAGACTGAGTGAGCTATGCATGTTAAGTGTTCGTCGCAAACAAGTAAATTCAGACAAAAGCCTAATTAATTGAAAAATCACTAACGAAATTCGGCAGAGAATATCAACGTAGATTACAATTTGTATTTAATGAAAAATAATGAATTTAAGTAAAAATACCTGTAGTAATTATGATGTATTAAAGTTAAGAATTTTTTTTTTTAAAACAAAATCGTCATTGATTTTCCAAATTATGTTTGCCCTTCCCCCCTCCATGGAAAAAAGTCTGTGGACCGCCATTTTTGGATGATAATAATAATACCGCTTATTATTATTATAACACGATAGGTTAAACGTCGGATAATATTTAAATCGCGCCGCCGGTACTTGTGTGAAAACCGAGATGCGCAGTGTGTGTATGTGTGTGTGTGTGTGTGTGTGTGTGTGTGTGTGTGTGTGNCAACAAATTAAGAAAAAAAAAAAAAAGGTGGTGCCGCGTGTACGAGTCGTGAGATTGGCCGAATCCGCGAATACCGGCGAGCGGTCGTTCGCGCCCGCGGCAGTGGTAGCGCAGTGGTTGTTGTTGTTTATATTGTTGTCCGCATCGCCGTTAAATCTCTTCTAGTCGAGGCGGCCCCAGCCGGTAGTGACGGTCAAACGTTGTTCTAAAAAAAAAAAAAAAAAAAAAGAGGAAAATACCGCGGTAACCAATGGGAAATTAATACGCGGCGTGGGTAACCGCGTTCGATTTAGCGAAAACGCGGTCGGTCGTCCGCCGGCGCGGCGGTGTGCCGATCAGTCGACGCTCAGATCAACCCGGGACCAGTAAACTTGCCGATAGTTAGTTTTCATTCGCAAATTTTCTATCGATAAATTTTTTCGTCTCGGTCGTGATAATATATACACACACACATAATAGTAATTGTTGTTATATATATTATAGACGACGACGGTCGATTTTTCGCGTCTCCTATATTTTGTGTTGTCCACGCTGTCCGCGCGAATACGCAGACAGATATTTTCGTGTTGTTTTAGACCGGTAGAGAATTTTTTTTTTTCTATCGCTTCTATACGACACATAGACATTTTCTCGCGTATTCCCCCTGCACTGCCCGTGTACACCGCGGTATAACATCGTACCTGCGAGATATTTCATAGCCCACGGATCGTAGTCTCGATCGTCGATTCCGCTAAAACGCCACGACGACTGCTACGCGGCCGACAACATGAAAATTACAATGATTTTCTCGAAGCGGTACCGATACGGTAAGTGACGTGCGGCAGCACGACGATCGACGCGTTACGGTGTGTTTTTTCCGGAAACCCATCGTCGATGATCGTTAACATCGTGAACGACCTATTGTATAATATTGTATACCTGTCGTATAGGTGTAGCATTGTATGTGACATATTATGGTTATTATAATAATATTATCACATATTTTATCTGATATCGAGAAAAAAAAAAAAACAAACTGTTATCGCAAACGTGCATACGACAAGACGTACTTGACCGCGGGACCGTCATTTGGGGGCAGAGGGGGACAGGATGTGCGGTTGCGCCCCTTACGTCCAATACAGCCCCTGTAAAATGGGCCCGCTGATGTATCGCTACGGCCCGTTTATATAATGAAATATTAACGTAATTAAATCGTGTGTAGTATATAGTAACAGTTAGGATTATTGTAATGCATATATAATTTACTGGCAATCGTTGCTTATCACGCTGAACCGCAGGTTAAATTATTATTATTAACGCGCGAAGCCCGGAATACAGAACGAAAGAGAAAACAAGTACAAATGATAAAATATTTGAGCATTAATTTTAATTAGGTTACTATTGGAATCGCACGGTTCGTGGTTGATATGTGTACAAGCTGAAGTCAAAAATCGCCAGTATCGTAGTGCGTAATATTTAAAATATGATATTTATTTTTTTTTTTATTTTTTTTTATTAGAGCGTTTTGCTTGTACTAACGTTATAGATATGAAACATAAACGACGACTATATAAATATTAAATTTCTTTTTTTTGATGCCTTTTTCAAGCTATCTATGCTTCATATTCATTACTTATTGGTTATCACAGCTAACGTAATCAATAACTATCTATTGTCTTTTAGTTTTTAAATTGATTTAGCGTCATTCTGATTTTAGATTCCGAGCGAATGGGGTAAACTAGAGCGTTTTTCGAGAAAACCCAGAACAGACGAGAGTACAATCAAATTACGGGGCAATGGTTTCATTATTTATAATATTTAAGATTATATTTTTCTACCAGAAATTTTTATCCAAATTTCAAAAATATGCAATTTTTGAAATTAAATTTTGTCGTGTAAAAAGTTCGTTGCTTAGTTTTCCTCATAATTACGCAAAACCGGAATAAATCGTAGGAAATACGGCCAAGTATGTATCACTTGGGGTGTTTGCTGTTTCTTTGGAATTTTGATGAAAGTCGTACAAATTACGAAATTTTAATGTATCTCTTACCGAACATCGTTCCGAATCGTTTTTTGTAAGCAACGGTTTACAGTTGCGTATACTGATATGAATAAATAACTTTATGGATCTTACCTTCCCGACTTTCCACCCACAACAGTGGCTGCATCCGTTCCCAGTATCAACTCATTTTGTAATATGATTTGAAATACGATTATTAATCACAAAACCGTGATTGGATTCAGATTTTATTTTGTCCGGTTTCGGCAAAAATTCGTTGTCTGTGCAGGAAATACGAATAATAATATAATATATAGTATTACACAAAGCCATACCTGGACCGAATTTTCGGAAAAGGTTTTAAATTGATTCCCCTATTGTTTTCGTTTCAAACGTAACACTATACTAACGTTTAGCTCGAAAAAACGAACAATACTTTTGACAAATAATTCGTAATAGTTTGAACTACAACTCCCCCTCACAGATATACGGCCCTGTATACGATATATAGGTGTATATTTAGTAACGTTCTAAACATTGGCAAATCGATTTTAAAACTATTAATCTTTTTGTATTATTGCGTATGCTCACTGCTTGCGTTATACCCATTACGATTTGCTTTAGTTTAGCGATGTAATTATCGATTGTTCTTTTTCAATAGTGCCTGTATTATTATTTTATAGTGTTCCGTATATTATGTACAAGATGTGTTGTTTATGCAATTGAATAACATCTGTATTATAGTTAACGACACGAATACCAGTATATACCTATTACACGTAATATACAAGTGTTGAACTATGTTATATACTCGTAGATTATACCTCCTTGCCTAATTATGCATGCATACCTATTCCTGTAATGTACAATAAAATTACTCGTTTTCCTTGTGAAAAATAAAATGCTTATCTGTAACTAAAAACGAAAAAAATTATTCGTATGAAGAATTACTCAAATTAAATAGATTACGCAACGCAATAATGATTTTAAGATTCTGAGCTCAGTGAGAACTATTGGATTTACCGATTTTTGATTATTTTTCTCCTGTCTTTTAAGAATTTGTCTACCAGAAATGTTGCTCCCACATTTAAAATGACCATCTTTTCAGCAATCAAATTATATCTAGCTTTTCTGTTGAAGATTTTTGATTATTGACTATTGAATTTTTGATTATCCTTGCGGTTTTCACAATAATTGTGAAATCCCGGGAAATCGTATGGAAAAATTTGGAAAGTTTGTGACAGTAAAAGTTTCATTATTTTTGATTTTTTTTTCTACCGAAAAACTTGTTTCGAATTTCAAATGTTGCATTTTTTTTTGAAAGAGAATTTTAAAAATACTAGAAACTTTTAAGTTGTTGAAATAAAATATGTTTGACTTTATGCTTAGTGTTGGAACTATCCGGATACTCGGATATTTTAAAACCCGAATAAAAATCAATTCGGATATTCGTATACTATTCAGATATATTCGAATAATCGTATTACTCGGCTATAATCGGGTACTATACTATTCGGATAATCGTACTAACTAATCGGATATATTTGGATATTGCATATGTACTCATATCTACTATTCAGATATTTATATTAATCGAATATTGATAAAATGTAATCAAGACTATTTGGGGTATAAATGGCTACGCACATTTTTAAAATAAAAATACATAGGTACTTGGAAAACATTGAAAGTACAGAAAATCCGAATACAATAAATATTATTCAAATATTACGGGAATGAATTATCCGGATGTAACAATCCGGTTATCCGAATATTTAAAAATTCCGAATAGGTGTATATTCCAACATTACTTTAAGCTTTAATTATAATTTAATTGCCGTATTATAGAAAGATAAAAACAGCTACTGTTTGTTTTATCGTAGAAATTAACGATTAATCTAGACCAGAATTATACTAAACCTATCGGCATAATAATAACAATAAAAATCCTGTTCAACCTTGTTAATTTATGTTAATTTATTACTCGTGTTAGCGTTTCATGTTCTGATGACCACACATGCTACACAACACTTGAATATTTTCAAGTTGGACGGTGATTAAAAAAATTTGTATGAAACACGTATTTCGTTTTGGCTCGTAAATGATATACACCATCGACATAACATCGGAATTTTCGACAAAAAGACTGTATCGCGAAAAATATCTAGTCAAAACGGGGATTAAAGTAGGAAAAACTTTGAAGGGGACTATATTTATCCAATCATTGAGGAGAATTCCCGGGAATGTGGAGGAAATGTTGAAAATCGAAAACAAATCAAAATTCAAGTTTATCAGGAATTTCAGGACTGAAATATAAATTATGTTAAATGATTAAAGATCAACTGAAAATAATTTATTGTACGTCAATGGTCAGTTGCTACTCATTTGTTAAAAGTTGACTCTAACGACATTAATATACACTCTTGATATGCATTTAAGAAACTGGGTGCATCGTGCTATAATGCTGCATTTCAGTCGCAATTATTCCAAAGAATAAATTATAAATATGTGGCAAGTGGATATATTTACAATTTTTATACATTAATATTAAATATTAATATCGCGTGTGTTTGTTTCCGTTTTAATAATTTAAGACGTAGCAAAATTACAATTCTATAAGAGCATAAATAGCGATATTTAGATTAACATTGAAGTTTAATCATAAATAACAAAATTTAAACGATTAAATCTATTTTAAAAATTCAAAAACTAACATGGCAATAACTTTTTCGTATACAACATTTTTTATATTTACGTACAGATCACAGAAATATTCATTTCTTTAAATTTTGTTACTGCTTAACCTATATCCTAAATACCACAATTTACGTTCTTAGAAAAAGCGTTACAAACAGACAGACCTTGCATTTTTAAGATTTTATATGAGGTACAAATTATAATGTACTTATTTTTGACGAATGAGAGATTTAATGCTACCTGTAATAAATTTAATAAAATAAATAAAACACTAAATAAGTAAAAAAATGTACGACGCATTGTATGTTATGTTTTTACTATCTTACAAACGCATTGCTTTGTAAAATTATATAGGTACCGCGTAGGCATGTTTTACATGAAAGCGTAGCTTATATTTTATATTACGCTCTAGGTTTTAGGACAGTATTTTTTCTTATTTTAAATTGTTCATTTTTTTATTACATGATTAAGATTATGTAACAGTTTTGGATCTTCATTATTAGTAGAGCTGGGCGGGATTGAACTAGGTCGCCAAGGTCACTAAGGCAAAACACAGTGGACCACTAATATTTTGGTTAAATAAGACTACGAATGGATAAAATTGTATTTAAAAATATGTTTGGGAAATACACAGATATGTTACACTGAATGCGACAACATGACCTTGAATAATTATACAAATCTTTATAGTATCCTAGTCGATTTAATTTCCTCATTTGGTGGGTAGTGGTAAAGTTTAATAAGGTACTACGGAATTCCTAAATTATAGTTTTTATATTTTCGCTGTATAATTAGTAGAATTAGACCGATGCTTGATATCGGCTGGTTTTATGGTTTTTGGTTTTTTTCGATTAATAACGGTTAATTTCAATATTAACATAGTTTTCGATTTCAAATATCCCACGAAGATCTTTTACACATTGTATAATAACTCTCGAAATATTACAAATAATCAAATTCTGTTTTTTTTGTTTTTTTTATTACTCATTAGAATATTCTGTAAAAATATACATTCAGTATTATTAAATTAAACAATTTTTTTTTTTTGAGTGACAAAAAAATAACAATTTATTTTTAACACGTTGGGCTACTCCATCGGGCTTTTTCTGATGACCTTGCGGACTACAGTCCACTCCATCCCTGAGAATAAGTACATGAGAAGTAGCTTAAGTGGATTTAGGTAAAGAATGCTTAGGTGAATGAGACAAGTGACGAGAGAAGATAAAATAAAGAATGATTACTAATAGCTATCTCTAATGTACTCATCGTACGTGTTACTTTTTATTTAGGCGTGTACTTTGTAGACAAAATGAGAGAAAATAGCTTGAGATGATTTGGGCATGTATGGGAAGAGAGAAATCNAAAAAGACGGTTTTTATAGGTAGCATGTATCGGACCATCGGAAATCGATAAAAACTAGTATCGACGCTTTTCTAATAATTAGAGTTTTGCGGAATGTATTCCAATCAGGACCTCGCGAAACCTATTCACAGTCCTGCTTATTATTAATTATACATTAAATAGGAAACTGTTTGTATATATTATCTATTACATCAGGGACACAAATCAATATTGTTTTTTTTTTATTTTATTTAAAGTCGACGATAATAATATGTATATAAGAATCACGGAATCATACAAGTATAAAGTATAATATTATATTGTTTATCACCTTTAATTCTACCTAGATTTTTATTTCCCGATATTTGTTGGTAGTTATATTATTATGATCGAGTACCATATCATTATAGGTAGGTGCCGTATGATATAATAATATATAATTATATATTTGTAAAACATTGTATACATAGGTGTATATTACAGGACTTAAAACAAAATACTGTAGGTACGTAATATATTTACTCTATTACTAATTAGAAATATGCAACAAATTATAGTTATAGAATTGAAAATTACCTTGATTTTTACTATAAGTATACATTTTTGTTAAATAAGGTATTGATAGCAAACATTGCACACATTTCCGAATCCCTCCGTCCAGGTTAAAGGCTGTCTATACCTACTGGAATAATCCAAATTTCGTTATTTTTCATATATTTTCTGACATTACATACAAATCAATCAAAATTCGGAGTTTTACGCGACAAAGTAACCGTTTTTCTCTTTCAAAATAAAAATATTTATATATTTATACACATATTGAAATTGGAATGATTTGCGAGTGTGTTTACGAGAGTTTTTCCGCGAAGTTATTTCCTTTTATAATAACGGTCGTATCTCTTGCCCTTGAATAGTTATCGAACAGTGGAAAAGTCTTATCTTTAAAATAACTACCAAATTTTATAAAATTAGAAATGACTTCAAAAACTGATTCCCAAAGCCTGGTGCGGCTATGCTGGTTTATTCTATTATTTGAAATAACAACTTCAGGGAGCTAAGCTCTTAACCTCGACCTGCCATTACACTCTTAAAAGATTTTTATTTTATCTCGTGTGAATGACCTGAATTCACGAGTCTGTGTTAGGTACCTATATATCTCTTACTATTGGCCTCTAAATTGTACAATAGGCCAATTAATTGGTATTGTGTTATATTATACTGTGTCTCACGAAGATATGCCCGTTGTAATACCTCCAAAGATAATAAAGATATTCAAAATCAAATTATTATTTTTTTTTATGTTACTCACAAAGATGACTACAAATATTTATATTTCAATCAATACTTTATGTTTTGGCAAAAAAAAACTAAATAAATAAATTTTATTTTATTATTTTCGAAAAATATTGAAGATCATCATTTTATAGATTTTATTTTTCTTAAAATGCTGACTTCTCAACTTTTTATTTCATTAAATTTATGATTTTAAATAATTTTTTAAAGTTAAAAGAAAATTACCGATAATTATGCAATAGGCTATAATCGAATTTGCCAATTGATTATTAATGTTATGGTTAATCGACTGTACACTTTTTTTCTCGAAATTTTAAAAAATTATTAAAAATCATGAATTTAATAAAAATAAAAAACTGTACGTCAAAATTTTCAGAAGAATAAACTCTATAATATGGCCATCTTCAAATTTCTTAAAATTAATAAGATAAAAAATTATTTTTATATGTTTTTTACGAAAACATAAAAAATTAATTGAAATATAAATATTTGTAGTCCCTTATCCTTGTGAATAATATAATAAAAAACACCAGAATTTGATTATCTCTATTATCTCCTGAGATATTACAATGGGTATATCTTCTTGAGACACCCTGTATGTAGGTGTTTAACGAATGTACAAGATAACACATCGACGTTAAATATATTTTTTTATTTTATTATATATATATAAGTACTGTACAACAATCGTTGTATATTTCATCGTATAGTATTATATATTAATATAAATACTATACTATACAATTTATTAACTCAACGGGTTATGTATATTTTATTTAATATTAACATTATTAAATTCATTAAGAATAAAAAATAAAATTCAGATAAGTTTGTAATATTTTCTACCTACGCGCTTAGATCGGTAACTGCAGGTACTACGGACTTTGGCTATAGTATCAGCTATGTATACCTAATAATTAGTTCGGTAATGTACTTTACATGTGCAATAATTTGTGCGTGTACGTATAAAAAACTACTATAATAGGTCAACGGAACATTTCATTATCAACCAGCAATCGTATCTGAAAAAAAAATGTATATTTTTAAAAAATATTTTTTTTATTCCAAAACTTACGATTATAACGCCACAAACAACAACATCGCACTAGATAAAATTGAAGTACTTGGGCGTTTATCATGTGCGCATCATTGTTGTTCTATTTGACCTATATTTGTAAAACATTTGCGCGCCGTCCGTTTATCTTGCGTTAGCTAAATAGGCCGATGTTTATAAAAATAATTAATAAGGTATACCGAGTGATCCATTTAAGTGTTAATACTCATTACCTCGAAAATTATTGACTTTTTTCATAATTTGTTTTCTAGAACATTTAAGAAACAAGCATCACTACTATTTTATTTATACGTAATTTTTTGTCACCTTTATTTTTGGGGGTAAAATCATTACCTATTTTTGATTTTCAAATGGAAACCTATATTAATAAGTCCATAAATAGTATTAATTAAAATAATTAAATAATAATTTAAGTGTTAATATTTTTGAATTTCATCAATCCATTGACGAGTTATTCCAATTGTATGTATGGGTTGGAGAAGAGTACTGGAGTATCATTTGTGTGACGGTAAGGCGTGCGGTGCGGTGCGTTATTAATGCACCACTACTCTTCTCCGACCCAAAATTAAAAGTGGAATACCTCGTCAACGGCTAGACAAAAATCTAACATTTCAATACTAAAATGTATTTTAACAAATACTCCATCTATTTATGGACTTTATAATATAAGTTGCCATTTGAAAATCAAAAGTAGGTAGTGGTTTTACACACAAAAATAAGGGTGACAAAATATAACATACATTTAAAATTGTAAAGCTGCATATTTCTTAAATGTTCTGGTAAAAAAATTCTGAAAAAAGTTATTACTTTCCGAGATAACGAGGATACACACTTATATAGATCACCTGATATACGATTGACGACTATCAGCTGTCGACGAATTTTACTATAAAATTATTAAGTGTCTGAGCTCAATACATTTCAGTATACACAAAAACATGTGTGAAGAGTATATAGCACGTGTAAAATAAATAATAATTGTATAATAAAATATTATAATTATATATTTTTTTTTTTTTACCTGTGAACAACTTTTTTACCAGAAATCTTGCTCCGATTGTAAAGTGTAGTACCTTTTCTAAAAGAAAAATTTAATTTAGCTAATACAGTTTAAGGAATTCATTTTAAAATTTTCCAAGTGGTTTTCATAAAAGTTCCGAAAAAGGTAGAAAAAACTGGACAATTACTGGAAACAATACTTTTATTATTTTCAATTTTTTTTTTTCTGTTATTCGGTTCAAAATATCTTAATAATCTTAATTAATCTTAAAATTTGGTTAGAAAATTTATATTTACCTTTTCTAGACGTGGTAAAATTTTTAAAATATTTGGAGCATTTTTGTGCTTTTTATAGATATTTTAATTTTGCGAGATTTTTACATAATTTTTATTTATGAAATTCCTAGTTTATAGTTCTTATATTTTCGCTGTAAAGATAGACCGATGCTTGATTTCGGCTGGTTTTATGGTTTTTGGTTTTTTTCGATTAATAACGGTTAATTTCAATATTAACATAGTTTTCGATTTCAAATATCCCACGAAGATCTTTTACATATTGTATAATAACTCTCGAAATATTACAAATAATCAAATTCTGTTTTTTTTTTTTTTTACTCATTGGAATATTCTGTAAAAATATACATTCAGTATTATTAAATTAAACAATTTTTTTTTTTTGAGTGACAAAAAAATAACAATTTATTTTTAACACGTTGGGCTACTCCATCGGGCTTTTTCTGATGACCTTGCGGACTACAGTCCACTCCATCCCTGAGAATAAGTACATGAGATGTAGCTTAAGTAGATTTAGGTAAAGAATGCCTAGGTGAATGAGACAAGTGACGAGAGAAGATAAAATAAAGAATGATTACTAATAGCTATCTCTAATGTACTCATCGTACGTGTTACTTTTTATTTAGGCGTGTACTTTGTAGACAAAATGAGAGAAAATAGCTTGAGATGATTTGGGCATGTATGGGAAGAGAGAAATCTGAAGCAGGGGTGGGAGTTTAGGATAAAGATGACCGATCCCAAATAGTCGGGATAAAGGCGAAGGAGTAAAAAAAGACGGTTTTTATAGGTAGCATGTATCGGACCATCGGAAATCGATTATTAATTATACATGTTCCACAAAATACTTGACGAAACTATAAATAAATAATATTACTTTTATAAAGTTAGATGTATAGGTATTTCATAAATATAGTTTTGCCTATAATAGGAAACTGTTTGTATATATTATCTATTACATCAGGGACACAAATCAATATTTTTTTTTTTAATTTTATTTAAAGTCGACGATAATAATATGTATATAAGAATCACGGAATCATACAAGTATAAAGTATAATATTATATTGTTTATCACCTTTAATTCTACCTAGATTTTTATTTCCCGATATTTGTTGGTAGTTATATTATTATGATCGAGTACCATATCATTATAGGTAGGTGCCGCAGGATACAATAATATGTAATTATAATTATATATTTGTAAAACGTTGTATACATAGGTGTATATTACATGACTTCAAACAAAATACTGTAGGTACGTAATATATTTACTCTATTACTAATTAGAAATATGCAACAAATTATAGTTATAGAATTGAAAATTACCTTGATTTTTATTATAAGTATACATTTTTGTTAAATAAGGTATTGATAGTAAACATTGCACACATTTCCGAATCCCTCTGTCCAGGTTAAAGACTGTCTATACCCACTGGAATATTCCAAATTTCGTTATTTTTCATATATTTTCTGACATTACATACAAATCAATCAAAATTCGGAGTTTTACGCGACAAGGTAACCGTTTTTCTCTTTCAAAATAAAAATATATATATATTTATACATATTTCTCTTTCAAAATAAAAATATTTATATATTTATACACATATTGAAATTAGAATGATTTGCGAGTGTGTTTACGAGAGTTTTTCCGCGAAGTTATTTTCTTTTGAAAAACGGCCGTATATCTTCCCCTTGAATGGTTATCGAACAGTGGAAAAGTATTATCTTAAATGGTACCTATCATTATAATGTTAAAAATAACTACCAGATTTTTTAAAATTAAAAATAATCTAGATATAGGTACTCCGTGGATAAAATTGTTAAACCAAACAGAAATGCTTAAAGATTTAATAAGAGCTTCATCATAGGTTGTAGTTAATGGTCAACAAGAAAATGATTTTAATATAGTATTTGTTTTTGTTTTATAAGAATTTTAATATCAAATTTTGACGAAAATCGTGAAGATTACGGATTGAATGAGAACTGTTTTTCGTTAGCGATGATTAATAGTTGCATACAAAAATACATTGATTATCCCTCTATATCCTACCTTCCCAACTTCTCACCTACAACAGTGACTTACTCATTGTGCGAAATATGTCCGTATTTTTTTAATCTGATTTAAAATTAATAAAATAATATTTCGGTGATGTTTTATAAATTGACGTATAGAAATTTTTACATACGTAGGTAATTTATAATATTTCATAATATGTTGTGCGTCAGGAAAATTTGATAATTTCGCACTGTAGTAAAATTTGTTTTCGGCTGATTTCGCCGTTCCAAGCTGACACACGATATACTATTATAAAATTACTCCGTAATGTAGTTTAATTAAACTGAAATTCTGTTTGTAACAAAATTCGATTTTATACCTACGTGGCTACTTCTCTATTTTGTCTATGACTTCTTTAAGTTGATAACTTGGTTGATACCGAGTTGCGGTCAGAATCAAAACAAGAAAAAATCTGAGTTATGGTCGGGATCAAAATAGGTGAAAAAAAATGAATCCGAGTTGCGGTCGGAATCAAAACAACTAAATACAAATCTGAGTTGCAATCGAAATAATCAAGATGATCAAAATATTTAAACTCGTCCGATACGTTCAATATAATTACGACTGCAATTCGCCTATCCTGACCGCAACTCCGATTCTTTATTTTTACCTGTTTTAATCCCGGCCGCAATTCGTCCATCGCGACCGCAACTCGGATACTCCCGATAATTTACAAAAAAAAAAAAAGTCAACTACGAAGTTTTAACGTTAATTCCAGTTGCCAAAATTTCACCCAAAAGCAATATTATAACACTATAAACACCAGGTGGTTTGTGAAACCTGTTTTTATTCGTGGTTGACTGAAAACTCGCGTACAACATGAATATATTATTGTCCGAAGGCCACATTTGTAAGGACATTGAAACAATTTGATCTTGGTTACAGTATATCGTATTACGATGATGTTTTTATAAGTATTTATAGGTACCTGTACTCCCGAAACTATAACAATTCAGTTATTTATGATTATTCGTATTAAATATAGGTATATATTGAAAATATTAAAATTATATACTTAGATAAGTATCTTAGTACTGGGATAAGTGCTTAATGGTTGTAATTTGGTATTATTCTTCGAATATTATAGTCAAACGTAGTCCACAGACCATCACGTAATAATATTATGTACCCACGTTAAGTTTTTTTTACAACCTATGTAAACCGATATAACTGAGTATGCAATACGTACGTACCTACCAATTAATATTTCGGCCGAATATGAAAACATGAAATAGTGGTTATACGAAGCGGTCTTTATTTTGTCCGTCTTTTTATCTAATGTCGTGGATAATGAGTTCAAGTTTAAAACATGCGCAGTTGTTTCCACGCAAACTCGAGATTTTTAGCAAACCCGTTGCTGTATTGGAATGTCTGCGTGAACAATAATACATTATAGTTATATACAGGGTGATCAATCTATCATAAGACACTCGTTATTTCGGAAAGTATTAACTTTTTTCGACATTTGTTTTATAAAAAATGTTAGAAACAAGCAGCTCTGCAATTTTACATTTATATTATTTTTGTCATCCAAATTTTTTGGAATGAAAGTACTATCGACTTTTGATTTTCAAATGGCAACCTGTATTAAAAATTCCATAAATAGATGGAGTAGTAGTTAAAATAAATTTTGGTTCTTAAATTTTTAATTTCCGTCGATCCGTTGACGAGATATTCCACTTTTAAGTTTTGGTCAGAGGAGAGTACATTGGTACATTCTTAAAACGCCGCGCGCTGTGCCGCCACACAAATAATGCTCTACTATTCTTTGTTTGATATAATTTGTTTAAAACAAATTTCGAAAAATGTTAACACTTTCCGAGATAATGAATTTCTTTTGATAGATTGATAACTCCGTATACACATAAAATTACATTGTACAAATTACAAAATAACGCTCGCCCATTTGACTGACTGCAACATACGATACTACTTATTTGCCTACTTACTTACTTACTTACACAATAATTATAGATTTATACGTAGCTACTAATGAACTTATTCTTCTTCTTCGTCGTCTCCTTCACCTTCATCTCAGCTATTCAAGATCGACCACAACTGTCCTAAATTTCCACTTGACCCGATCTCCCACCCCGCACACACTAGTTAATAATGAACTATACGACAATATTTGATTGGTAGGTGGTATTATATTACACTGTATGACAAAAATAATGATTGACAACAATATATTTCCCCGAATAACGGAATACATAAATGTTTTTCTGCTAGCTTTTACTAAGGATTTTTTTAAATTGCCCAAAAACCAAAATCCCCCGTCCCTTATTAAAAATATTTTATTTCAAAAATTCTAAACCAATAAAACATAAAGTTTTCCAGATATTACTACGCAAAACTAAATTGAATTACTTTCTAGAATTACAGAACTACTTTTTATTTTCGAACAGTTGCCCAAAATTAATGTGAAAAATACATTAGTTTTTGACATTTTCTACTGTCACATTCAAGTCCTACTGCCTGTAAGAATAAGAGACCTGTTAGTCAGTATTTTAAAACCATCAAATGAACGGTTTAAATCTGATTTTCTGTTATTAATGTTTTCAAATCAAAATGCATAAACACGTCTTTACTGCAATAAATTTGTCGTTTTAAGATAAAAGTTTCTTTCGATTTACACTATTTTGTCTCCTTAATATTGTAACCGACGGACTTCTCAGGTAAAAATCGTTGCAGAATAATGCGCACGCTATACTACATAATTGTTTACATACCTATCACCCAATATTATTAGATTAACAATGACAGCGCGTGGTATGTATCTACCTAATGACTGAAATCCAAATGAGGTGATTACATCTTAACTACACGGAACAAAAACAAAACTCAAGTACCATACACATAACTTGTTTTGCTTTTATTATTGATTTTAATTTCCAATGCGGAAATTCATACATAATTATAAAACTATCATAATATAATCAGTAGTATTGGTGTCCTAAATGTTTTAGTGAGTATATGCTTGAGAGAAGATTAAAACATATAATGTGGGAGGCCGTCATTTAGAGCAGCCACGAACTAGGATACTGAATTAAGATTATTATGATGAACTAAGATATACCTTAATATAATAAGATAAGAATGATAAGAAACATTTTTTTTTTTTTTTTTGTGATATCCTACGTATAGGTAGTTAACTTGAATCGTTTTTGATGATCTGTGGTAATATACACCGAAATACGATGTTTGATAGTAATAATTTATAACTAATAACAAGTACACGCGTTTATGTGACACATATGCGTTTCAAATAAAAATGTTGAGTAGGCATAATTATTGACAAAAAAACCTAAAAGTGCATGCATACTTTTTGACACTCCACTTCACCACTCATAATTTAATAATAGTAAACAATAATTACAATAGTAGATAATAATATCATCCTAGATTCCTAACTTATATATGCACGATCCCTATGATGGTTATTATAATAAGTAATTAAATAGTTCAAATATCAGAAATTATGTTATTGATCAATTATTAAAAATTTGAAAGTAATAATATAGGTACAAATAATACAAATACAAATAATAGAAAAGTTTTTTTCGTTCAAAACACAACAGGTTAATGAATGGTGATTAGGTTTCTTTTTTATACACACCGATGGTGTTTTATTAAAAGGGAATATACCACTAAAAATCGAAAAATACATTCTTGGTATTAAAAAAAAAAAAAACAGAAATATTATGAGTTTAAACTGATAAAAGGGTGTATTTAAATACCTACAAAAAATTAAGTTGATAATGTAAAAGATATCCAAACGCCTTTTAAAATATAATTAAATCAACACTGATTTATTAAAAGGACCACATTCAATGCATGTATACTTTGCGTATAAGTAATTTTATTGTTTTCCATTATTATCATTATTAAAAACCGTTTTGTTGTTTTTTTTTTTTTTGCTTCCTGAAAAAGAGTGAAATTTGATAGACGAGATTTGACAAAACACCGTCGATATATTTAGGTATAACATATGTATAATAAAAGAAGACACATTCTAATGTACAAAATAAGTGTCGATTCTAAATTGAATAGTTATTGTGATATTGTATATTTTATGTTTTTAACAATTGGTGCACAAAGAAATGTATTGTTATATTTTTTAAATCCACGTTTTCTATCAATTTCGTTCCTATAATGTGTTTTTGACGCGTGCACGCGAGTGTTGTATATCATATAGTGGAAACTAAATCCACTAAATCCATGTTATAGGTACCTAGTAATTAATTTTTGTTTATTTTGTTTCAGGTCTGATATCGTTGATGTTAATTAGTGTTTCCGCGCTTGTTTTGGGCACTCTAATCGCCGTGCTCGATCCATTCCAATTAATTCTCAAATGGGTACGTTTATTAATGTGCATTACCTAGAAAATAACGAATTTATTGTTTCTATTACCGATCTATTAATTCGATTATTTATTCAATATCGAAAAATGTATAATATACTTTTCATTTTTCAAATATCTTAATTATTCATATTTACAACTATATGAACCGTTAGTAAATAATTTAAGTAATTCTTTTAAAAATTAAAAATATTCCAGATAGCCAATAATAATAGTTATAATAATAGTAATGATAATAGTTTTGTTGCAACATCAACAAGTTTTTACACCAAAATTTCATTTATGAATACAATATTGCTGTACCCCGGTAAGCAAAGCTTGGGCTGGGGAAACTGTTTTACTTCTATCATTTTAAGTAGAAAAAATGATAAAATATTTATTTAATCACATAGAGCTCATGCGATTGTCAATGCACTCTGTGGTGCAAAAAATCTTTTCTTGTCACTCCACTCATCCACCTAAGTATTCTTATCCCTGCTATACTCATTCTCTGCTCTAATTTTCTGTCTACCGCCCAACACTCCGAACCATGCAACATAGTCAGTCTCACTACATTTTTGTATAACTGAACTTTTAGTCTCATATTCTACCAGAAATCTTGATTCAATTTTCAAGTGTAATGTGTTTCTGAAAGGAAATTTTATATAGTTGGTGAAATTTTTAAAACGGTTGAGCTATTTATGAGCTCTTTATAATCATTTTAATTTTCCGAGGTTTTTAAATAATTTATATTCAGTAGACACTCTGTGGATAAAATTGTCAGACCAAACAGAAATGCTTGGAATTTTAATATCAAATTTTGACGAAAATCGTAAAAACATGTATACCCGAACTCCGCACAGAATTGTTTTTCGTTAGCAATGATTGATACACACTCTGTTTCCTTCTATATATTACCTTCCCAAATTTTCTTCTACAACAATGGCCGGCCCATCGTGCGAAATAAGTCCATCTCTTTTTATATTTATATGATTTCATTAAAAGCACGGTAATCTAATAGTGGAAAAGCTGCAAAATGCGTCTGTATTGTCTTTTTATTAAACTTGTCATACATTTGTATGATAAGTAGCCATAAGGCTATACATTTGATAAATAATTCATATTAATATGTTGGTTACATGTTTGGAGAATTTATAGGTCTGCACGTTTTTAATTAATACATTAGCTAATTACATATTTAGATTTTATAGGTACACAGGCATACTATACATATATACATACTCGTATATTGAAATCTTAACCGTCTATAGCAAGGTTAGGGTAGGTTAGAGCAGGTGGTTTGAGTAGCGGCTATTCAACGATCCGAATTTTGGTACTTTTCTGGTATTATTATTATTCATAGTGGATATTTTAATTAATCTTTGTTGATTATATAATATAGACATATTAATGGAATATAATATATAATTATACACAGATATTATATACGCGTCACGACGCGTCGTGTAAACTGTAATTTCCACACGCCGAACGAGAGAACTGGTTCCGTAAATTTAATCTTGGAACCTAGCTGGGAATATAGAAACATAATGGCAGTCTGCGATGGGTTTTATTTTTTTTTTTTTTCTAAGGTCAGATCAATTCTTTGCAATTACTCGATCTCCATGTATACTTATCCGGAGAACATATTATTGAAAAAATAAATAAACACGATTTTATCTATTTACTACAGCTAATCAAATTGGTTTCGTTTGTTTCGCGGTTCGACAAAATCCTTGCGGTCACTGTCAAATGCTCAAACATGTTTTTTTTTTTTTCCATGCGGTATTAAATTGCAAACAGAAACCAGTTCTCAAATTGTATACTCATTCAAACCGGTAGGGTTTTCCCGAGACATTACTCACTCTTCCGGTGACTGCGTTAGATATATAATCATAAAAACGACAACAACTGTTATTTAAACTACGTGAAAAATTATTTTTATGCGGAAATGCTTGAATACTCGTTCATCATCTACGATAAATAATAAAACGCTCTTAATAGTTTAATAAATAGCACATACTCTGATGCATGCATACCACAATTCGAATTATAGAGCAAGAAATTGTTTGGGTTTCTTTCACATCTCAATAAATAAACCCATTTATATAATTGGTTTTAAATATATTTATTTTAATGGTGTATTAATTGTTAGGAGGGCGTGACACCCGCATATGTTGCATCCGTCTTACAAACGTACGAAAAAGCAAATTGGCGTTCAGCAGGGATAACATTGTGCTGTTCATTAATTATTATTAAACTGTGATATTTCACATACTCATATCTCATAAAATTAAAATATTGACAAATAACACAAATGTTACACAGATTATGTCCTTATCTTTAAGTTTGATAATAAGTCATCCAGTTCACTAATTCACTCTAATCAGGCACGTATTCAGGGGGGAGCTACAGGGTGCTGTTGCCCCGGGCGGTTGAATATGAGAAGGCGGCTAATATATATATATATATATACAATATAACTATTTTTTTAAAATTACATTAAATTTGTATTTGGTATACTGAGGCATTTTTTTTTTTATTGCCCCCTGGTGTCAAATTCCTAAATAAAAAAAATTCCCCTGACTCTAATATTGAAATTAACAGCACAAAATTGTCCCCACTGAACGCAAATTTGCTATCTGCAGTATGATACACATTTGTGAGACCTCACAATTGTGAGTATCACGTCCTCTTTATCTAAATTTGTATGCCATTTTAAAATACGTTTTGAAAAACTTTTTTCTATGTCAGAGACTATGTAGATATTTAAATTTAATATTTATTGCTGTTATTTGTATTGTGTAACAATTATAAAAACATACAAATTCAATTTACTTCAATTATACTTTTTTGTATGGAATTACCTACTGTGGTCTGTGATTACTGATTACAAATATAATATCATAAATTATGTTTGATCGTATAGGTAATTTAATTTGTTTTATACTATCGTCTGGTGTTACCCATGAATTAAAATTAATATATACTTGCCTACATTGTCAAGTATTTATTTTTCTCATATTAGGTACCTATATGTATGAATTACAAATAAAAAATACCTACCTAAATAGTACATAAATATATATATATATATATATATACATATTTCATGTAATAAATAATAAAATAATGGACTTGTATTGAGGTGAATGAATCTAACTGTATCAGTTTTATGTCGTTACTTTCAAAGTTTGAATAACTATATTTATGATGATAGTATTATAGTATAGTATATGATAGTATAGAAATTCAAGGAACAAAGAAGCCATTTAGATCTTAAAATTGGATGGCTTAAGACTTTAAAGTAGTTACACTAATTAAATTATAGCTTAAATAAAATTGAAAATAAAAATTGAAATAATGAAATAAAAATTTCACTAAAATGTATGTAAAATATTTGGTTATAAAGCGCACAAATGTTTAGAAAAAATAGGTACCTACTTAGTATTACCAATTTCCAAACAATTTATTTTTGTGTATTTTATAGAAATTATATTTTTATGTCTAATGATAATAATAGTTAGATTTTTTGAATGTCAAAAAAAAAATATACTCATATTATTTTAATGATTCGATTAAATAAATTTAATCGTAAACTGAAAGTTGGAATATTTCGTTAAAAAATTAAGTTCAAAACAGTTTAAAGCTGATATTATTACAAAATCTTCTAAAACAAAATATAGATCATTATATAGTCTATAAACATTGAAGAATATTATGGAATAAACATTATTTTAAAACAATCTTCTTCATATCGATTTAAAACCATTCTTTAACGTATACCATTTTTAACATTTTCAGAAACTCATATTTAGCAATGGTGATGAAACATTTGAGATGTGGAGAAAACCTGAAGCACCTATTTATCTCAAGGTATTCATATTCAATGTGACAAACCGTGAAGAATTTTTGAGTGGAAGAGATGAAAAATTAAAGTTTCAAGAAGTTGGCCCATATATCTATAGGTAAGTTAAATTGAATATACAAATCTTATTCTGCAAAACTAATCAAAAAAGTATTTTTATATTATTCACTTAAATTGAATTATATTGTACTAATTATTTTTTCTCTAAAAGATATTTAACATGAATATTTATACAAAATGTATAAATTTAAAAAAAAATGCATAATACTTACCTTATACATGTGTACCTAATTATACATTTTAACGAATGTTTAAAAATATTAATAGTTGTACTTGTATTACTAAAATAATGCTATTAACTAATTTGTTTAATTCATCTTAATACTGATATCAATTGACACAAATCTCGTTTTAATAATTTGCACATATTTTTACTTATTGGGGTTATCGAAAATCATAAGTAACATACCTGCGTCATCAATAACAAATTAATATGCAATTTGAAATTACGATTATGAACTATGAACTATGAACTATGCATCATACTCAACTATTTTATATAAGTAGGTACTTACAATTTAGAATTATAAACTTACTTTACGTCCATTACTTAAATTACTTGGTAACTAATATAGAAAATCAAAATTGTCAACAATAAATTGTACTATAATAATTTTTTTGTCATATCGGTAATATTAAAGGATGTTTAATATATATGCTCGTCTATATAGATAGAGGTACTATACTACTATCTATAGAGATTTACACAAAATATAAGTAATGTCAAAAAGAACAAAAAGATAATAGATAGATGTAATGTGATAACATCTCGTTTTGCTGATATAACAATTATTTAGTTTTGTTAGTTAAAACGCACCAATTTCAATATTGTTTTTTTTTTAGTTTCTAAGCGTAGCAAGAAATTTATTGGTTTTGATAATGTGTGTGTGTGGTTATTTTAGATTCCAAGCGTAACGAGGGATCTATTGGTTTTACTAAGATGTTTATTATTTTTTTCTTTGTTCTTTGTTTTTTGTTCGAGTCTGTGAACATGTCTTTTCCTAGTAAATTTACTCCGATTTTTACGTATAGCAACTTTTCTGAAAGCTCAAGTTGTGCTTGATGATACTTTTAACAGGTGATTTTCAATGCAATATTTTAAATAACAGTGGGAAAAAACGTAGGAAAACGTACAATTTCACGATTTCATTATTTTATAAAAACACGGATCACAAGATAACTTTTTTGTTGCCTTTTTAATTTACTTTCTTACGGTATCATCTTATGAGCCACTTTTGAGTTTTTAAGGAATTTTAATTTTTGGGAGTTATTTTGCTGTAATTGGTTATAAATACACGTAGAGACTTGAAACTTGGTAATAATACTTATGTTGGACTTACCCCTAGATGTAGTACAATTTTCAAAATTATCGGATGACTTTTTTCCTTTTTAAACTGCGCTCGGAATCGTCTTTCGTCAAGCAATGGTTTATCGTTGCTTACAGATATAAATGAAACAACCTTATGTATTCTACCTTCCCAGCTTCTCACCTACAACAGTGGCCGCTCCCATCTTCAGTATCAGCTCTTTTTTTTGTGCGTGTGTTTTTAAACAACTTTTCTATTGGAAATTTTACTCCAAAAAAAAAAAAAAACGACAGGAGACATTTTGAATCTAGTTGGTATCTATTTGTTAGGCCATTTTTAATTTTCCTTGTAGTTTTCATTATACTAGGAAAAACTGGAAAAACGTATAATACAAATGAACACATATTTTACAGTAAAAAAAAATTGCATTATTTTCGACTTTTCATTTTTATATTTCTACCAAAATTCTTGCTTCGAAATCCATGAAACATCTTATGTTAAAAATTGGAAAAAAACGTAGAGAGTTGGCGAAACAAAATTTTTATTTTTGTAGACGTTTAGTACAATTCCTAAGAATTTGAATTTTTAAAAAATAAATGTTTAATAATATTTAATAAAACATAAATAACAAAGATATTTGTATGTATACGAATATGTGTTAGGAACTAAATGAGTATCACACAGATACTATATCTATGTTTTTGTTTGTACCATAAACTCCAAATAATAATTTATTTGCAACGTTATGTAATATTATTACATTATTCATATTGTAAGGTAGGTTTGACTTACTATTTAACGATTTATATTAATATACATAAAGTGTGTGTGTATGTATATTTTTAATCTATGTTATAAATATATAAATAAGTGTACATAATTTAAAAAAAAAATCAAAATGAACACATAATATATTATATTATTAGTACATTAATTATAAATCGGGTTTTTTTTTTTTTTTAATAATAATAACAGTGTTATGGAATAAAATTATAAGCACTATGTCCCACCTATGCATTATAATACCTTATTTTATTATAAAAAACGGATTTATAAGGAAATACCAAATGCAAATAATATGAAGCACATCGTAAAAATGCAACATAATTATTATTTACTACACGTAATATAATAGGCAATGTTATTTATTGTACATTAAAAATTACGACTAGTATTAAAAAATAAAAAACTACTAGAACGTGCATAATTAAGTACATTAATCCGTTTGCTTACATAAAAGTACATTAAACGTGCATAATCAAAAACAACATTAAAAACAATGGGCTAACGTTAAAATTACCAATATTCTACGTTTCGTTAATTGTATTCGTAAAACCGATAAACCAATAAAAATAAAAAAAAAACTATTTTTTTAAACCATTTGTACAGCATATTAACGTATCGAGTACAAGTTGAAAATGAGGGGAAAGCATGGGCGCCCGAAGGAGGAGAGGCAAGATAGGGCATCTGCCCCTCCTCTTGAACTTCAAAATTTCAAAATAATATCATTTTAGTGATTAGATAATATTTATATAATTCTGTTATATTTTTTTGGTGTTTGATTTTATTATGCCCCTCCCTATATCAGCCTGGTCATCAAAAAGCCTAGGTAGATTCTTATTTACGGTTATACGTATAAACTTTACAAAAACACTGCCTCCCCTTGATAGATTTCCTCCGGACTAATTTAAAAATTGATACTATGTTTGTAAATATGTTTTTATTATCCAAAATAGAACTAAAATAAATTTTATTCAAAATCTTAAATTCTGTAAAAACTATAACAATAAACATCGATACAAAAGTTTTATTTTAGTTTAAGTATCATAGTAAAACCAATACTTTCCTCGCTCTGCTCAGAATCTAATATAATATATCAAGGACCAATAACATTTATATAATGTTAATACATTAATTTACGATTTTCCTTGTTTAAACAAAAGAATGTTATGAAAATATAAACTATATAGCTGTAACTTCTTTTCTTACAATGAAAATGTAACTAAAAAAAATAGCTTAACAAAAGTTATTATTTCGGAGTATAGTTTTTATCAATTTTAACCGATTAAAATTTTTAAAAAAATGCAGGCATTCAAATATAAATTTCAATTTGAAATGTATAGATTTCGTTTGAAAATTCTAAGTTCAGATCATATAATATATAATTCACTAAGCGTGCTCATCCAATTTTTTTTGGTGTAAATTTAGCATGTATTAAAATTCTGATTTTTGAAATTTTTAAGTGTAGTCAAAGCCGATATTTTTGAATACTTAAACTTTTCAAAACATTTAAGTAGTATCATGTGGTGTTATTAACTTTGGTTTTCAAATGAGAACCTATATTAAAAATTCCATTAATAGATGGAGTAATACTTTAAATAAATGTTAGCGTTAGCATTTTTAATTTCTGTCAACCCGTTGACGAGATATTTCACTTTTAAATTTAGGTAAGGAGAGAATAGTGGAGCATCATTTGTGTGGTGGCACAGCGCGTGGCATTTTATTAGTGTTCCACTACTAACTCTCCTCCTACCTAAAGATTCTACGATTAGATACACTAAGTACATAATTAAGTACGTAATTAAAATACCTGTATGGTTCTTAACTATCATATAATACACAATGATTAAATGTGTTGTGAGATTTTGTTTATCTGTAAATAATTTATTTAAATTATGTATATTTCATTGTATTTGTTTATAAAGTACGTATATGGAACACAGTGGCGGCTCGTGCGTAAAATAATTGGTAGTTCACATTAAAAAAACTGCGTACAATAAGTATAATGGATTCAGAAAACAGGAACTAAAGCAAATATTTTATTGAAATATGAATATATTTATTAATATTTTTTTTCTTTTATGTAGGAATTTCTTAGATAGAAATCTACAATATATTAGGGAATTAATACGTTTGTTTTTGTTACATTACATTAAATAATATTATTTAGGAATTGAATGCAAGCCGGGTCGGTCAGTATTTTCTGTAGGGTATTTGTGGAGATAACGGCACCCGCCGGACAAATTTAATGCTATCCAAAAGAAATAATCAGTTCCCAAAATATTCTCGGTCAGTAGCGGCAGACGGCTGTACGGTCACGTCATTCGTTTATTCACCAACACTACCGGTAGTTGGGCCAGTCGTAGGACCGAAACGGTCAAATGCGCACACGCCAACCCGCGCAAAAATTGTATTTGCCCGTCCACGCTCCGTGACCGCTGCCGCTGCGAATTGTGTACGATGGCATACCTATAACGTGCGATAACGTTCGTTCTTCCCGACTTCTCGCATTAAACATTTCTTTAAATCTATAAAATAATTTTTATTCTCGTCTCTAAAGTAAATATGAATGCATTTCTAGTTTATATCACAACATGTACTATAATAATTGATATTATATTTTTATATTGTTGTAATATAACAAAACAATGTACCTATAGTTTTCAAAATTGTAGGTGGTGCACTGCTCTTGTGCACCATAAAACGAACCGCCACTGATTGAAAATTATTGTCATTATTACACTTATCCGATTTTCGAGATTTGTCAATTTAATTCTTTTTCTCCTTCGCCTTTATCCCAACTATTTAGGATCAACCATCCTCGTTCTAAACTTACACTTGATCCGATCTCCCACATTTTCCTAGCACACACCCACCGTCTTCATATCATTCTCAATCGCGTCTAATTACCTATTTTTTTCTTTCTCTTTTCTCGTACGTTTATTAACTTCAAAATTCTTACTACTTTTGATTCTTTTTTCCTTGTGACATGCCCAAACCATCTCAGTCTATTTTCCCACATGTTGTCTACTATCGAAGCCACCCATCTTATGATTTTTCAATTTAATTAGGTACATTTATCGTCAGGTAGGTAAAAAGATTTCCAATTGGCTATAGTATCATCTGTCTGGCAAATTCTATGCAAATAAAAATTAATTTTAAAAATGTTCGCACTGCGAAGTTTCGATGACATTGGAATTTAAGAAGACGTGATATCCGCATGTGCTGTCTACGCCTTAGTTTTAATATTAAAGTAAATTTACCTACAATCACCAAACTTACAGGTAATATCATTATTTCTGCAGCCATGTAGGGATTTTTCGATATTTTGATTTTTAAGCGAGATATACCAAGGTAAGTATTTTAAAACTAACAGCACAAAGTTGTCACTGCTTAACGCTTTTAAAATATAGGTTGTAAAATTAATTTTTGAACAATTTTAAACTCTAAAATATAAAATGTACAATATACGAAATCAATAAGTCTTGGAACTAAAGATTTGTGTATAACAATAAAACTCCCGCAATTGATACGATAACATTTCCTATTTATATACCTATATTAATTAAAATAAAATGTTTACTGTTTTTTTTTTTTTTTTTATGTTTATAATTTCTAATAAAATATAATATAATCGTTTTATACATTTTAAGATTTTCGTTATTTACACTTATGTATTATATACATATATATTTATGTAGTTAGAATATGTAATTAAATTATCAAAATCAATAATAGCTAATATTTACTTCGACTTATTTACGTAAAAAAAAAAAAAAAATTAATATTATAATTTTTACAAAAACCACACTGTAACAACTATAAAATAATAATGTTTTTTTTTTTTTCAAAACATATATATATATATATATATATGCAATATAATTCATTAATAAATTAATATTTAAGGACTGAACAATTTAAATATTTTCAGGGAATATGCTGAACACAAAAACGTTTCGTTTAACAATAACGATACGCTAACGATGACGCCTATCCATCCATTGGTTTGGGTGCCAGAATTGAATACCAGGAGAGAAGACGACTTATTCATATTACCAAATATCGCTCTCTTGGTATGTTTTTTTTTCAATTTTTTTTAATTCAAACTATTTTAAGCTTGTGTATCCCATTTATGTATATATATACGAGGGCTAATCAAAAAGTATCAAGACTGGTAGTATCATTCGGAAAAGGAGCATCGAAGAGCAGTAGGATTGGTATCACTTGCTTCTATGACTTTTTCTGAGTACATTTGTTTTTATTGCTTCTCTATAAAATTCTTCGGTTTGATTTCACTGACATTTTTGTAAAATATATTTTTCGAGTTTGGCGATTTCGTAATAAACCCAAAAGAAGAGTAACTTGACAGATTTGGAAATTTTAAAAAATTTTTCTGCATTTTTTTCCAGTTTCAGAGGGATGCAACATTTCATGGTTTTTGCCATTAAATGTCAATTGAAAAACTGAAAATGTGCCCTCGAGCGGCAGCGAGTTCCGCTTCTTTTGGATTCATTACTAAATCGCCAAACGTGAAAAACAAATTTTAGAAAAATATCGTCAAATCAAAACGAAGAAGTTTATAGAGATTTTATACGGATAGATGTGCTCAGTATAAGTCATAGAAGCTAGGTTTACAAATCGTTTTGCTCTTCAACGCTCGGTTTCCGAGTAATATTATCAGTCTCGATACTTTTTGATTAGCCCTCGTATATATATAATAATTTACAAAAACGTATTTGTTAACATTAATATAAATAATAACTATTAATTCGTACGATCTAGCGAAAACCATGCCAAAAGTTACCGGCTAGGATTAAGCTCTGGGTCGGCCCTAAGTGGTTTTCCTAGAAGGCCCGTTGGGATTGCTTTCCCCCCGGGCTTTTTAGATGGTACAGGCTTTTTCGTCGGCGTTAGATATTAGTAAGGGCGCGTCGGCGCGGACTTCTCTGCGTCGCGAAGCTAACATGTACAAATTCTCGTCGGGCGGCGGAGTACCGGAATTTCCCCACCGAGGTTGTATCCGACGAGGGATCGAGACCACGAGCTCATCTCTCCGCGTGGTCGTTCGAGGGGTATTCTCGCGTTCCGACCGTTGGGTCGCAGCGTTCAATATCCTCGGGCGGTCCACTTACCTCTGGCAACGGAAATTGTGTTATCACGCGCCTGTCGGTAGACACCTGACTGCTTCCGGTGCGAGCTGACCACCCGCTTTGCCGGTGGCCGGGTGCCGTGATACGTCCAGCTATTGACATTTATGAAAAATAGTCCGGGTGGTCTTCGGAGCCATTCTCGGCGCCAAACAGAGACCCGGGTGTCAGCCGTGGTTTCGTGCCGTGGCCGGTGCCTTACGGTTGGATTCGGACGGGTTTACGAGTTTCGTTAGATAGCGGTTAATGAGCCAGTGACCACCTACCTGACGGCGTTCGAACCGTAGGCAGACGGTGCGGCGAATTAGGAAGCGGGAGCTGGAACCGCGCTTTGATGCGTTGTTACGCATCCGGGGCTTCCGGGACCCTGATCCCTCCTTGTCTCTTGAATAGCTACCCTTAGCTAATATGAACGTCGTCCGATTTCGTCCCGTTTTGACCATTTTAATATTTTTCGAGTTTCGATTGTGTCCGGTTTTAACAGGTATGCATTCGATTGCGTCCCAATCGTAAAATTGAGAATTTCAATTGCGTCCGGTAGAATCCGATTGCGTTTCAAACGACCGAGAATACAATCGAAATTTCCGATTTCGAATGTATCCGGCATTCGGTCGTATTATTACTATTATTCTAACTACAAGGATTAATACTATACTGCATGAGGTACCTGTAATATTTTTAATTTTAATAAATCAATTTTGATTTACAGACAGACAACTAAAACTAGTACCAATAAAACACAGACCAAACTATTACAAAAAACAAGAATTTATTGGTAAACAAATAAACAATTATAAACAAAATATTATATCTCGTTTATACTGTATTAAAAGTATGTCGCTTAAAGGCTTTTAACTTAAATAATTAAATACCTTAACTATAATTGTAAATTGTAAAACGCTGTAATACGTACAGTTAAAAATAGTAACTGTGCTAATTATAATAATTTTTACACTTATATCAATGTACATTTTTTTTTAAAAATGTACTTTAATAATAAACAATTTTTGTAATGCTTAATTATTGTATGACTAATTGTAATGAGTAATGACTAATAAATAATAATATTATATACGTACATATTTTTCTGAAATGACGCTACACATAAAAAATCAATTTGATATTTTGGAGTGTAAAGCGATAATAATTAAACCGCACTCGTTTAGAGGTAAATGTGCGTATACCTACAATCGCGTTCTGTCTGGTATAGAAATTCCCGATTATTCATTTAGGTCACAATCGAATGCACAACTGTTAAAACCCGACGTAATCGAAATTCGAAAATGTTAAAAAAAAGGTCAAAAGGGACGCAAACGAAATTTTGCCGGACGCAATAGTCATACTCTATTTTTCGTTTACCTGACTTTGGGACGCAATCGACTGTATCCGGATAATATAAAGTACCCGGTTGTACCGTGCTTAGGCATGAATTAAAAATCGGATCCAACGTTAATTCGTACAGTAGTGTCTACATATATGTATAGTATTATTAATTATATTATATATTTTAGTCTACTAAAACACGTAAGTACCCAAATGAAATTTAGACGATTATCATTATTGTAAATGAACAAATTAAATATATTAATTACATCACACGGTCAATACGTTCATATTCGTATGACTCACATTCATTATTCGAAAAAAATTGTGTACTATTTTCAATAAGCGCTGTCGATTATTTTCATTAGCGTAGGTATAACGTGTAATATAATTTGGGTACATTAATTTTTTTTAGATTCTCGGATCATTAGGAAATTCAAATTGTTGATTAAATCCGTTGAAACACGAATAATTGTAAATTATTTCGCACACCCATGTGACGATAAATACGTGCACTCCTGTTAATATTCAAAACTTCCGCTAGCCCGCTCATCCACAAACACTCCCTTGTATTATAGAACACTAGATCGTATGGGAAAATATAACATGAGTAGGCAATTGATTCTTAACCAAAAAATACTTCTTAATTAGTTTCTGGAAGATTACGTGAACAACAGCAATTAATCTGCGTGTGTACAATTTATATTAAACAATTAATATTTATTTATTTAAGTTTTCTATATGGAGTACCTATTTTTTGGTATTTTAATTAGTGTTTTATATTCGTGTGTATAGAGTTTTGCCAGCGTTATGTCGGAAGCCTCAATCATTACAAGAATGGGTGTCAATCTACTCATACGGCAAACCAAATCAAAACCGTTTATCGAACAAACGGCTAAAGAATTCATGTTCGGTTACGAAAGTCCAATAGTGACTTTGGGCAATAAGTTCTTGCCGTCCTGGATCATGTTCGATAAATTAGGTCTTATCGACAGGGTGAGTTTTAGAATTTATCAGTATATAATGTAAAAAACGTTTGTTACAATAGCCGCGGGCAAGATTTGTACCCGAAATAAAAATATCATTGACAATCATTACGTATACGAAAATCAATTATTATTATTATTATGTTACGCGAGTTATTATAATAAATATAGCTATCGGGCATATGAGTTTTAATGGTGGCCATTCTTTCGAAATTCATCATACAAATTTGACAGTATAATAATAATTATGATGGCCGGCAAGTAACATACGCATAATAAAGAACAAGTACACGTATTATTATAGTATACCGTTTATGGGTATATCCTTTTTATTTAATAATCCTATAAACATTTTATAGGTATTTTAATTTCGTTTTTTTTTTTTTTTTTTTTTTTTGTTGTTTCACTTTATAACTCTTAAAAATATATACTCATTTATATGGTATAAAAACTTATATTTGGTAAAATTGCTTTTCGCGTTTCTATACCTGTAGGTATACCTATACTGTTAGATACATTATAATTATATCGTATTTGCCCAATATGTTGCACGTACATAAATTAAGTGCGTATAACAACAAATTGAGTTGGAATATATATATTTATTACTTAAACAATTATTTATATTATTTTATTTTGAGTGGTAAACATTGTACACGATTTTCCGTTTGAAATCGAAATTTGACTAGGTTACAACAGCTAATTTCCTTTTGAGGCGAGGGGAGGGAATTTACGTAGACAAATAATTCAATAAGCACCGGCGTAGCTTTAAGGAGAGGGCTAGAAGGCGATTAGCCTCTAAAGAAACGTATTTATAACCCATCCTAAAACCGTCACTAAGTAATAGGTTATTTTAACGGTCAGGAGAGGAAAATGGGGCGATTCACCAGTGGGATCAAGCTCCGGTGACTTGAAAATCCTACAGTTACGCCTGTGTCAACAAGTCAAATGTAATTTTTATAGCACCTATAAACTACATTTGAATTGTAATATTATAATATAGTTCTTAAAATAAAAATAAAATGTCATTACAGATGTACGATTTTAATGGAGATACTGCAACAATATACACCGGTAAAAATGATATATCCAAATCGGGAATGATCGATAACTATAATACGAGACCGTATCTTCCACAGTGGCCATCGGAACCGTGCAACAAAGTGTCAGGCGCATCGGACGGTACCAAGTTTCCGTCCATGTTAACACCCGATAGCACGCCAATGTTCTTCAGAAAATCCGTCTGCCGAGCAATGCCAATGGTACTTTTATATAATTTTGTTAAAATCTCCAAAATCTGGAACATTTTCTGGAACGCATTTGACATATTATAATAACCTAAAGCCCTAATAATTAGCATAGAAAACAAAAATCAATCATTCGACTATGATAAAATAATTATTTTATTATTCAGTTGAGTAGGTAATATTGAAATATCAAAACAACAATAATAAATTACTCTTTTAATTATCTTAATTTAGAGCTTTGAAAAATGTAAATATACATACCTATATAGTGTATAATATTATCATAATATCGTTCACCATAGTGTAAACCTTGTAAAAACTCGATGGATAATATATTATATACGAACAATTTAGGTGAGAGCGAGCAACTTAACACTGCTCGATAGTCTGCCGGTGTACAAATATTTATTCAAAAATGGCACGCTGAATAACGGAGAAGATAACCCAGAAAATCAATGTTTTTGTCGTAATAACAAATGCTTGAAATCGGGACTAATTGACGTTACTGACTGTTATTATGGTAAAGCTATTAATATAATAATCCATTATTTTACCGAAAATAATAATAATATTGTACCGCATATTTGTTTACAAGTTATGATGTATATACCCAGTACTCGAATTGGGGCGGAAGGGAGGGGGACGAAACTCCACCACTTGTTTTTTAGTCTCCCCTTACCGATTGCTTTTGATTGTGACGGTACGTCTCTTTTTGCAAATAATAATAACTATTTACGATATTATCAACTAGGATATTATATTCAATAGGCAGGCACTGTGAACATTTTTTTTTTTTTTAGAATTTAAAATTATAAAATTAAACGTTTTGAAAAAATCAGTAATATGTTCAGTCTTAAAATATTATCATTATTATTTTATTGTACTCTTGCCCTGTGTGACAATAAAATAGATAAATAATTTGACGAAAACCTAAACCTATATGAACAAGTAACGTATTCTATAATAGTATTAATAATTTTAGATTCGGAACGGAGCGAGGAATCGATTGGTTTTACTAGGATGTAAGTTTTGTTTTTAGATTCTGAGTGAAGCGAGTGATCTATTGTTTTCACTATGATATGCATTTTCTTTTTCTGTCTGTAAACAACTTTTCTCCTAGAAATCTTGCTCCAATCAGAATATGACAGAGACCTTTTTTGTTAAATTTTGCCTCTAGTTAATACTTTAGAAAGTTTATTTTTTTAAATTCTCATTAATCAATATAATAAGGAAAAACTGGTTCTTTAGATTAAAAAATATTAAAAGATTAAAAATAAGGTTATCATTAGCGACCGTCTTTATTTATTTATTTTTTTTTTTTGTTATTATTAAATATAAGATTCTGAGCAGAATGAGGAATATATTGGTTTTACAAAATTTATTTATTTATTTCTGTAAACGACTTTACTACCAGAAATTTCGTTCTGATTTTCAAGTAGAGCACCTTTTCTAAAAAAAAAAAAAAATTGACTAGAGTGGTAGTTTTTGATTTTTCCAATAGATTTTCTTAATAAATAGAAAAAAAGGTAGGAAAAAGGGAAAATTTACGAAATGTATTATTTTCAAATCATAAATATTACGGTCTTTCAAAACATGTATAACCAAAATCTGCTCAGAATCATTTTTCATTGAAAATGGTTTATTGTTGCTTACAGATATAAAACAAATAACTTTAACAATTTAATAACTTTAAACAACTTTGTATCCAACCTTTCTGACTTCCTAGCTGCAACAGTGGCGTATCTATCAGCAGTATCACCTTTTTTTTTTTTTATGATTATGTTTGTATTTTTAAAGAACTTTTCTACTACAATAGGTAATTATGATTGAGTACGGAGTGTGTGACGGGTTGTGTTAAATTCAATAATTACAAGGACCGCTAATTTTACTTTGAGTCTCATATAGTCCCAAATTATTTTATTATTCCAATTCGAGCACTGTGTATGCATTATACATATTGTACTTTTTCGTTATAACATTATCTATGCAAATTTCTGAATGTTCCGTACATTTTTTTTTTTTGTAAAAATAATATTAATTTTTCAATTTTAGGTTTTCCCATCGCATTATCATACCCTCATTTCTACCAAGCTGATCCATCGATAATCGACTCCGTAGAAGGAATGAACCCTGATCAAAAAGTGCACGAAACCTATTTTTTTGTCAACCCGGTAAGATGACCTGTCGAATGCTTATTGTTACTATTTGCTCGTGTTTACAATACAAATTATGGTACTCTTATTAAAATAATTATCTATGTGTACACAGCTTACGGGATTGCCGGTAAAACTGTATGTTAGAATGCAAATAAACCTTGCCCTGGGAGATATATCGGGCATAGCAAACACAGAGTATTGCAGCAATCAAGTTCTACCGCTGGTTTGGACAGAAATTGTAAGTATGGCAGGCGCTCTACGAAATAATTTATAAGTGTATGATTATAAGTTATTGTAAAAACATTCGGCGCTATTAGTTTAATCAAGAGGGGGTTGGAGGGGGTAGATAAAGTTATTATAGAATACGAGAGATTTTTTTCAAAATAAAAATCCCAAAAACAATTAGCAAGTCGTACCTGCACATAATACTATTTTAAAAAACGCACATATTCCTCATCATCGTTATGGATTATAGGTGAAATTAGGATAAAATTAAAATTAATATTGGGCTCGTTGGTCGGGCACGTCGTGATATTTCCAGGGGGCAAAGCACCCGTTACGTGTTATACCAGACGATTTAAAATATGCACATGTAATACAAAAATTAATTATTACAATCGTATTTAATTGTAATTTTTTCAAAAAAAAATCCGGTACATAGATAGTTGATAATAAGATCTTGAAAAATTGTCTGGTTATTTTTTGTCTGTACTGACCGTGCCGAATGTCACACGATTTAGTACGGATTTCAAACCGTTGGTGAACAGCGAGTAGTTAATATCTATTTATGCGCTGAACCGTTGAATGTATAATGTTGTACATATAATAACACGTTATCAAATCAACGGTAAAACGCACAAATTGTTTTCCGGGCGTCAGGAAAGGCGTTGGGGTTCGTGACACCTACATTAGGGCGCTCGTTACGTTTACCAAAACCCGGTGTCTACGGTGTGACAATAAAATCCCTTTACCCTGTAGAAACTCTTCGGGCAGTTTACCGACGACGCCCCGGCCGTTCACAAGCAAAGTCAATCTTTAGAGGCCGCAAATGCCGCGAGCGCGTCACGCGCGCCGCAGTGCACGATAATGAATAATATTATAACAGTTGTGTAAGAACGAAACGTATTGCTCACGGTATTATTCGCCGTTACAGGGCTTCGAAAGATTACCGGACCACATGCTGACCAAGTTCTTCGTGTATCTCCGGGTGGGACCGGTGCTGTTCACGGTACTGCAGTACGGGTTGCTGGTCGGCGGCGTTGCGTTCATAGCGCTCACGGTAATCACGTCGCTGTTCATACCCGTGGACGACGAGTTACGGTACGCGAGCTCCTCGGCGTGGCGCCGGGAGAGCCAGACGCTGACCGGCCAACAAGCGCACGGGGCGCCCACGATACGCGTCCCGGTGCCGGTGCCCGCCGCCAAGGAGATGAACACGTACTACAGTTCGCTGCTGGACGTGGACGGTGACGGCCCCGGCGGCGCGGCGGCCGCCAAGCTGAACGGCGAACTGTGCAGCTGGCTGGAAGTGGTGCACGAGACGAGGGACAGCTGCACCGAGTCTGAATTCGAATACGACGACGACGACGACAACCAGCGAATCGTTTGACCGAGACGTCGGAATCGCGGGGCGCGATCGTAGTTGTTTTTCGCAGGCGACTGTTTGCCGCGCAAGTGCGTCCTGCGCCTTGTGCGCGCGCGCGCGCGCGTGGCGATCTCGGAGGGTTTTCGTGCCGGACGGACGTGAGGCCAGTCGATCGTAACGCGCGCGATCGTAAACAGTCGAAAACACACTTCAAACTTCCCAACTGCGGTCGCCGAACGCCGCCCCGCGATCGCGCGTCTCACGAAATTTGATCTTCACCCGTGCCCATAATAATATAACACGATAGATAGGTTTCATAATTATACGTAAATGATAGATAGGTTAGATTAGGTATAACATATGCGCCGTTATAATTCGCACATTTGCAACGGGAATAACGTCCGGGTAATTATTGTATTTTTTTTTTTTTTATTTTTTTTTTTCCCGTCGCGTTCCGACGGCCGCGACACTGCACAATGATAGTTATTCCTCATTGTTTTTGTCGACTAACGTGTGTTTTTAATATATTATATATATTATTTATAAATTATAACGTACGGTTTATATGCAAGTATTACGTAAATTTATCTACGTCTATTTAAGCGGAATACATAAGTATTTTTTTTTTTTTTTTTTTTTTTATTATTATTTTACATCGTAATGTGACAATCTCTGTTTTTACCTTTTAAGCGTCACAAACCGATCGCCACCACGCACGCACGCGCGCCACGATTATTGCGTTTATTTATTAATTTATTTATTATTAACGATATTATTAATTAGGTATCTGCGTAACTGTTAGTTTTGTAAGCTCTTTGGTGATGTTCGCGGTTCGTTGACATAACGTAAACACAATACGCGTATAATACAATGTATAGTTTTTTTCAATTTTCAATTTTTATACTTCTATATTTTGATTTTCATTTCTATACGTTTATAACGTATTATTATTATACACTATTAAACAGGAACTTGTTGATATTTTTATTTTTTTATTATTTTTTTTTTTTTTCATCGTCCCTCTTTTACCCCGCCTTCGTGTTATCCTGTACGCGTGCGCGATCAATGCGAAACAACAAGGACCGTATTATCGTTTACGTTTGTATCGAAAAAACACAAAAATCTTAAACCTCTTTTTTTCTTTTTTTTTTTTATCGGTCGGTTACCACATAATGTTGTCATAACTGCAGCATAGACGTTCAACAATTAACATCGCGGGTCACTGTTTTTTTTTTTTTTTTTCTAATTAGCTCTAAACAATTTTAACGAAACTTAATAAAAAAAGAAGACCGATGACTAAAATGTACAAATGTACGTTGTTCTGCGTACATTAAATACCGTTTTTATGTGTTAGATTTTTTAGCAAATTATAATATAATACAAGATAGTTTATTTAATATTGCCCCGTAGTAGTTAATTGGTATCTATGTGTCGGCGGTAATGTATGAAACACGTTATTTTATTAAATGACTAGTTGTTCTATACTACCCTTTAATACGCTCGTTCACACATGGCATACACGGTCATATTAGTTAACGCGCAGAACACCGATTGGGTTTTGCCGATTTGTATAATTCAAACCATCGTGTACTAATAATAATATAATAAATAAAAAATTATGTAATAACGTTGAGACTCGATATTACCATATTTTTTTTTTTTTTTAATAATTTTTATAACTCCAGTGTATTGACATTGCACAAATCGGAATAATTGTTTTCAAAGCGAATATTAATATTTTACGCACGGATGTAATAATAATTCTACGTATCGCAATTTCTACCGAATCGTTGTTGTCAGCTTATAAAATGTCTACTCAGTACGAAGTATCTACGTAGAATAACCAGTTGAAGTATGCATAGTATTTTATTCATTCAGTACGTTAACTGAAAGTGTGCCAATAAATCTATGAAATCACTAGTTATTTTATAGAATTACGGAATTCCGTACATTAACGCTGACATGTGTGTAATATATATGTGTATGTTGACAGAGTCGTGTGCTCATATATTTAAATTTTAAGGCTGTATACCTATTATAGTTCATAAGTATTTATATTTCGTCTAAAATACATATACGTTAAATATATAATATCTAAAATGTCTTGTATAATGAAACGAACATTTCTAAGTAAAAAAAAAAAAAAAAAAAAAAAACTGAATCGTATTATTGTATGCAACGGTATTGCACTGAGAAATTTTAAAACACACGCGGTGCAAACAATCGTCCAACTTTTTATGTCTTTTTAAGTCGTTCCCCGTGGCACCGATCCAACTCCAGCAATCTACAACCTTCCCCTCATTCATTTTAGAACGTCCGTTTGACAGTAAAAATATTGAATGAATCAGATACCACAGAACCTGGCGCAACCGCGACTGTACGATTTCAACACCTTCGAAATTATACACTGAATTATATTATATTAATGTAATTTTTAAATACATGTTTAAAATTGATGTTGATAAAATTATAGTAGTCGCATTGAGGTGCGTTACACTGGCACCCGTGCCAATAATTGTCGTTCTCATTGTACAAATTAGTAAACGCATTTCCAAAATGCGTACACCGCCCGAATCCCCACGAAACGAGTTTTAAATAGTGGACGCACACCCGTTTGTTATATATTTCCATAGGTACGCATAGACGTATACAAATTGTATTATAGCAATTGTATTAATCCTTTAATAATATGCAATTATTTTGATAATAAATTCGTATACTTTTAAATATAAAATCGAGTTTTATATTGTGCACATCAAAAACTCTACATCTATAATATTAGAAGACGGGTAGAGACTTTAAAGACTTTTAAACTTCTCAATCGTTTTTGATTTTTAAATTTTTGTAAATGCTTTTTTCAGTAATTTTTTGATATTTTAAAACATCCTTTTTGTGGATTGTAAGAGAATATAAATCCGGTCTTATAAGTTATCAACGACATTACTACAGATACAGCTGTATTATAGGTATAGATGCATATTTTTTTTTACTTTATGTAATAAACATTTCACAATAATTAATAGTGTCCAGTAGGTACGTATTCTTTATCCATACTTGAAGAACAGATTTGTATTCAAAGAAGTAAGTAGGTACACTACAAAATCAACATCATCTTATACTAAATAGTTATATTTATATAATTTCCAAAATGCATCTAAAAAACTGTGTACCTATATAGTCTAGGAATTTTTAATGTACGCAGTATAAAACTCAGTTTTATATTGTCTAAAGTAGATACAATTTAATTTTTAAATCGATTTTAATATTATAAAAATGTAAGTTTTTTATGTACCTACATTTTATTTGATTATTAATTATTAATGCACACAATATAAACTATTATTGTTACTGTAATTACATTTTGAAAATGTGTTTTCTAATTAGTGCAATTAAAATAACAATTATTGGCACAGGTTTCAAATCATTTTGGCAATTATTTCGATACGCGAGTGCTGTAGCAATGTTACACTGGCACCCGCAACTGTTACACATTTTTCTGGGGTTTAGGATGGTATAAAAATTTTTAAATTTTGATTGCTAATTTGTACAATTAAAACAACAATATTATTGGAAAAGATTTTGAGTGAATTTAATGTAAAATCTAAGCGTCTTCGGTTAATTCAGTTATAACTTTTAACTGGCACTTCTCGATGTACATTAAGATTATCCAACCCATTCAATATGTTATCAATTAAAATTTTGGTGTACGGTCGTTTTGGCGTATTTACACAAAATATTGCATAAATAATTGCAAAAATGAATGTAATTATAAAATATAAAAAATATATTTACATGTATATTTATACTTTAATTTAGTATGATCGTATGACATAAAGGTGATTTAGAATTAGAGCTTATTATTAGTATTGTTAATTTTGTAACTGAATACTGAAATCCAGTGGCGAAACGAACTTAAAATAATTTAGAAGCAACGTATATCATAAACTACTCAGTATCTGCCTACTAATACGTCCCAATATTCCAAATATACCCGAATTATTATTTTTTTTTTTTAATTGTTTTCACCAAATTAGTAGTAGACGAGTAGTACACTAATATTTAATTATTTTCATACTCCCCAAAATCGTATAAAAAACTGAAATGCGACTGCTACGTTTGACGCGTATAGTTCACAATAGACCAAAACAATTACTGCGGCGACGCATGACGTCAATATGAAAATGATTGTTCTGGTTGGATTCACGCGTCATCCGAGTCATCTGATGAGGTAAATAATTCAATAATTATAATGGTCAATAATAGATACCATTAATACCTAACTAAAATTATTAGGTTTTGAATATTCTAAATGGGTTAGGTTATTCCAAAGATAAAATGAATAAGTTTTAAAATTGCAATAGTTAAATAAATGTTGGAAACTCCAAAACGGATCCCGCGCCAAAGTGGCCACACCGAAAAGACTACGCCAATAGATGTCCTATAACCGAACCCAGCTGGTCGCTCGGCACAATTGCATGTACAATAAAGTATACGAACCGATTTCATTAGCACGCTCAGAACAGTGATTTTTAATGTACTTTATGTGAAATTCATACTCGAACCGTAACATAACGTGTTGTAATAATATCCCCTCCCTCTTCCCGTCTACAGTCCCGTCGTCACTATTTTACTACATCACCGTCCCACCGTATATTTTACTTTGTATATTCCATACGACATAATGCATAATAATATTACAACCATTTATACCGGCCACGTGCAACATACAAATAATTATAGAGCTGTTTAACCATTTTAACAAAGCGCGTATAAAAAAAAACAAAACATACGTATACGTCTTGATTTCAAACGCGTGCTTGCCTATAGCGAATACGACCATCGGCCAATTGAAATTGTTATATATTATAAAATAATAGTTATAACTATATATCATATTAGCCGTATACTAATGTTCTTCAGTTCACAAATCACATTTATACCATACCATTTTAGAACTCATGCAATCACGAGTGCAATCGTATATCGGAACAGTAATAAAAAGTACTCAGCTACCGGGAAACGAAACCAATTACAACACGAGATAAAACAGTTATCTGCTGAGAAATAGGTTTTATTTTATTTACAAGCAATGAGGACAGACACCATAACCACAGCCGGCATCAGCTTAATCGTGGTACCTATAACAGTTGGTATAGAACGTAGTTCAAACAAACACCAGACTTCTTTCAAACGGGCTGTAGTTTCATATGAAAGAAATAATAGTATAATAATAAAATTAATAACGTTTAAGATTCTTAGTGGAACGAAAAATGTATGATAACGACGATTTTTTTTTATCATGAAATCAAGAAAAATAAATTATTTTATAATAATTGTCTTTTTTAAATTTATGAACATTTAAGAAAATCCACCTCTAAAATATTGCATTGCCATAATTTTTGTCACCCTTATTTTTAAAGGTGAAACGACTAGGTGTCTACTTTTTATTTTCAAATGACAACCTATATTAAAAATGGATAAATAGATGGAGTATTAATTTAAAAATATTTTATTAGGTATTTAAATTTTTAATTTCCATCAATCCGTTGACGAGATAATCCACTTTTAAGTTTAAGCAAATACAAATAAACAAATTAGTTAGGTAAGGTTATACAAATTTACAAGAAAAAAAAATTTAATATACCAACACCCTGTATACATATGATGCATACATGCATTAATTTCTATACATAACTTAAAAGTTAAAAGCTGTCCTAGGATAATGGGGACGGGTGCAACCACTATTGTTTGTGAAAAGTTGGGAAGGTAGGATATAAAGGGGAAATTAATTTGTATCTGTAAGCAACGATAAACCTTTGCTTACTAAAAACGATTCTGAGTGAAATTTAGTTGATAGTGATGCTTTGTCAACAATTTACATGCCATATTAAGGTAAATAATTAAATAAGTATTATATATTCTCTTTAATAATATTTGTTTAACAAAGTACTGATTTTTCCGTTTTCTTACGTTTTTACCGGCTTACCCATGTTTTTTTACGGTTTTTCACATTTATTGGGAAAACTTTTGAAAAAATCGAAAAATTACCTCTAAAAAGTACCTCCTCAGTCAGATTTTCTTTTAGAAAAAACGCTATCATTGTAAATCGAAGCAAAATCGCAGGTAGAAAAATTGTCTATAGAAAATAAAAATCGCAATATTTTACTAATATTTCGTACATTTTCCCGTTTTTCCTCCGTTTTAATTTGGTTTTTCACATTTGATGAGAAAATTCCTAAGAAATTCGAAAAATGACTTCCCTAAAGTACCACCCCCTAGGTTCTTATTTAGGGTTATACGTAAAAACTTTACTAAGACGGAAAATCAGTACAATCTTAAAGTATTAAACAAATATTATTAAAGAAAATATATGATGCTTATTTAATTATTTTATCATTATATGACATGTGCATTGTTGACAAAGCATCACTATCAACTGAACTGCGCTCAGAATTATTTTTCGTTAGCAATGGTCTTTCGTGGCTGCACTCGTCTCTATTATCCTTGAACGTCTTTTTATTAATAAGTTTTTCCTTGAACTAACAACCGTTGTAAATCAACTTAAGTGGTAATTGCTAATAACAGTCGACAGATATTATGGTAGAAAATACCAGTCGTCAAATTTTTTTCTTCTAAGTCAGCAAAATTCACCCCAAACCCCCCTAAAAATAAACCCTAGGATCGTCCCTATCTATAAGCGGACTTGTCCGGAGTGCACTTGCAACAACAAACAATTTTCGGATGTTGCAAAAGTACCATTTTAAAACACCATACATACTTAAATTTGTAAGTTTTAATATTGTATAAAATGTTATTATTTAAAAAAACTTCAAAATTTCGTGGTAACGATACATATATGCTTGCCCAAAATCAGTTGGTGTTTTGTGACAACTAATAATGTTGAAATAAATTTTCGGTTTTAAAATGACAAATATTAAGTACTCGTATTTTTAATATTGTGTAACAAGAAATTATAAACTTGCTTTATTTTTCGATTTAAATATCAATTACCTTTTGTATTTAATAATAATATACTTGTCTATACATAGTTTGAACCAGAGTAGTAATAACTATTCAACCTTGTATGTGTAGGACAACACCCTCTGATAAGCACTGCTAGGTATGGTATAGAGTAGTTAATTAGGTATATATAAAAACACAACTTTTGAAATCTGTTACACAAAAAAAACGGTTCACATATGATAAATATAAAATATTTCTTTATTAAAAGTTATACCATATCATAATTAACTATCTATTCTAAAAAAAATTAAAGTAGTTTTCATTATAAGTAATATTAAAATACTGAAAAAATTGTATTAACATTAATTGTTAACTACAATTTAACAATTTAACTAATTATGGCATAATAAATTGCATAAATGATATATTAAGTTTTTTTTTTTTTTATTAAGTATAATTATAGAAAATATAATAGACACATAGATTATAATTATAACTATGAAAGTATAACATTTTTGTTCTGTGTGAATACAAATTTAAATATTATAATATTGGGTATGTTTATTTGAAAATATATGCATTTAAATAATTAAATAGCTTTTTGTAAATATTCATCAAACAGATAAAGAGACAAGCTTGGATCTGGTTGATTTCCAATTAGTTGTTTAATATCATTGGTATAGCCAGACAGTTCTCTTATAATTTCAGAATGTTGATGTACAAAGTTATTCTCCAAAAATGAAGCCACCTATGATATCAATAAACAAATATATTAATTCATTATTCAAAAAGATAAGGAACTACACAATTATATTGTTAAAATTAAAACAAATATGGTAATAAGTTTACTTCAGCATCATGCTCCTTCCTTCTTGTAACTTCACCATGAAGAAAATGAGCACCTTCAGCCAAACCTTTTTGCATATCCAAAGCTTTAGCCATACTAGCCAATTCATACAATTCATACTCCATTTGCTATTGGAAAAAATAAATATCAAATTATATAAGAGAGTATTGACTATTGTATTATTTTTCAAAAATATAATTATGAATGACTAAGTGTAATAAATACCCTTTCTTTTATTTCTTCTTTACGATAACGGAAGTTCATGTGAGCACCACGTTTTCCCATAAACTTTACAAGATCAATAGCCTTTTCCCATGTTTGGTCAGACATTTTTCTATAAAGCTTTTCAAATCCAGCACGGTTTTTTTCATAGTTGCCAAAATGAGATGACTACAATGATTAAAAATCATTATACAACTTATTTTAAATAGCAATGTAAAAATAACAATATGATACCAATTTTAATAAATAGTCAAACTTAATTTAATTGAAGTTAGAAAGACCAGAAAAGAAAATTTATATTAGTTATAAAAATAATTTTATTAAACAAATGTATAAATTCTTGCCATACTGTATGCATGTATGAAATTATTTTGGTTATTTTCAGGCTCGGATTTAATAGCATTTTAAATATTTTCGAAATATTTTAGGATACAGTTAAAAATAGTAGAGTGAGCTTTATATTTGTTTTATAAACTAAGAACTCCAAGTACAAAATGTTTATATTGCTGTTTTTTCATATTTAAAGTACCCTTATTTTAGATTTATTGTGCTATTTTTCTCCAATATGCATAATATAATAATTTATTTTGTATTTGTCATAAATAATTAACATAATCTATCATTTATGCAAATCCATAAGAAAAATACCTACAATTTTGTTTCATATTTTAATCTATTTTTTAAGTAGTCTCAAATAATGACCCATAGAACAGTCTACATTTATGCATTTTTATCGGATGTATTTACATAAATATTTAAACAAATTTAAAAAATAAATAAATTTTATTTTTTGTCATTTATCGTTTTTATTGTATATTATAGCTTAATTTAAAATATTTTAAGCCATATATGGTTTTTATGTTAAAATTTGTTATTTCATATTCAATGACATATTTCAGTTATTTTCAGTTCTATAAAATCTGAGCCCTGGTTATTAAGAATATTAGTTACTGATTTTAACTCGGCTAATAATAGGTTTATATAAACTAGTGAATACATTATTTTAATTAGATTGCACCAATTAAGATAGACTCAATGTATAAATCACCATAATAAAAAAAATTATAATTATATAAAATATAATTGAATTTTACATTGTTTTAAATTGAAAGTCTAAAAATGGTATACATATTTATGTGATATAATATAGTAAAAATATATAGGTATGTAAGCTAGAGTGTTTATTTCTTGAAATTTAGAAAAATAAGAATAATAAATTGCATAGTAATAATAGATTAGTACTAATTTAATTTTTAAATGCCTCACTGCATTAAAAATAATAAACAGATTATACAGACAAAAGCAGTCAAGCTGAATCAACGGCAATTATAATAACTACTAAATATTACATAATATCAATAAAATTGTGTACCCAGCATTCGACATGGTCATTAATATAATGTTTTTCTATTAATTTTATAATAAAATAATTATGAATTAATTACCCTATGAAACTATAATAATTATGATATAATTTAATAACTATAATTAATATTAATGATAATAATACATATTTACCATTAACAAAAACTGGAAACTACGCAAAATATGTGTGTTGGCATAATTTTGAACATTAGCTAATAATTCATCGCTTTTAAATGCTCCATATCGTGCATTACAATTTTGTACTTCCCCTCCTGTAAAGTATTATAAATATATGATAATAATTAACATGAATTACTAAATAGACAAAAATAATAATAAAAAAAAAAAGAACAAACCCACTGGGCTGCAAGCTCCAACCACATCATTGTAGCAGTAATCACCAGAGACATACCCGACACAAAAGACGGATGTCATACAAATTATAAATAATTTAATACTCATTTTTGATACTGAAAAAAATACAAATTAACAATTTTACTATGACAATAGTATGACTATAGATTTATAGTAAATATTTAAAGTTCAACCCCTTATAAAAAAAAAATAGTTTATAGTGTTTATATCAAAATTTTATGAAACAATTCTACATACAAAATTGTATTCTTCATATTTCGACATTTTGGATTTGTATGCAAGGTCATTAGTAAGTACTTATATTTTAAATGAAATATTAAAATATTAATTATATAAAAATAATATAAAATTTATTTATTTTATTCAAATAAATTGTAATTAGTTTTCCAATTTATTAAAAGATAATATATTAATATGACATATTATCTATACTTTTTTTTTGGTATTTGTAGTACATATCATATGCAAATAAATTTAAAGATTTTTAGGGAATATAAAAATTTGCTCTACTGGTAATTGGAAAAAATTTAAGAATTAAGATTTAAATAGATCATAATAAAATTTAATTTTGTAATTTTTTTTTCATATATTCAAAGTCTTGGATAAAGTAAATATTTTATTAGTACTTATTATTTATTAAATAACAACTCATCAAACTTTAAAAACTACAACTAATTCTATTTAAGTATTGAATTTAATTCAGGTTGAATTTAAACACTAATTTTCTTTTAAGATCTCAAATTAGGCTATAATACAGTGGAACCTCGCTATCTCAAGTTCCTGTATTTCAAATTTTTTTTTTCAGTCCCGATCATTCAATATTAGACTTACACGTTAATTAGTATACCAAATTTCCATATCTTGAATTTTTTTTAAGTCAAAGTCAATATCCAATATCCAATATCCATTAATTCAAATAATGTGAGATAATACTCTAGGATATCATCTATCATTAGTATCATTAGTACCTACTAATAGATAAAGTATAGAATGCCGATAAAATAAATGGTAAATGTGGACTGAGATTATATGTAATATGTACAACACTGTAATAATGTTAATATTTAATTATAGTTCAGCTAGTAACCTATAATGGTGATAGTCACATAGATTTTACAAATGACAAATACAAATAAATAATATGTATACAATAGATAAAAATTTCTCTCAAAAAATAAACATTTTTATTCAAATTTTATTTGTTATATTCTCTTAAGGCTTCGAGATACCAAGGTTCCAGAGTACAACCTAGATTTATGTACCTTAAAATCTTTAGAAATACATAATATTATAACTCTGCAGAGTTAAGAAATAATTCAGTATATTATATTAATTTAATTAAACCATTAGTTCTCGACTAGCTCTCAACTAGCAATGTTTTCCTCAATAAATAACTTATACCACTACAATATTTAAATTACAAAGAATAATTTACCTTTATTATAAATGGTTCAAGAAAAATAATGAACAATAAAAATAATTATGTTTCTAAAAATTGTCTAAAAATATATAATAAACACCTAATTTTAATTGCCAAATGAAGATGTTTAAAACAAAATAACAAAATTAACTGCTGAAGTAGGTATTTTTTTTATTTGTGAAACTAAATGTTATTAGTTTATAGGTATTTCAAAAATATTTATTTGGTAATTATATTAAAATACAACTTGGATGATTTAATTACTTAAATAATTATTTTATTTTACAGTGAATATTTTAAATATGGAATTAATTTGTATATTATATTACTTGAACTTAAACAAAATATTCATTATCATATAATTACTGCGAAAGTACAATAGGTAATTGTTTATGATTAAATCAACAACTGAAAAAAATAGGTAATTAAATAGCTGATGTACCTAAATGGTTATTATTTATTACTTATTATTGTGCAAAACTACACCATAGATATTTTATCCACTTAAGAATTTATCATATCATTAACAATACATATAGTAAGTATTTATTATACTTGTCAATACAAGTTGAATATATTATACAGTAGTAAGTATAATTAATGTAATAATTCCAAATGTTTAAGATTTAACTTCACTAATATATTGAAACATGTTTACATTTAATGTGATTATCCAAGCTTAGTTAAATAATGCTTACAATCCTTAATGAGTTACTCATATAATAAAATTATTTTAAAAATAAATCAATAAAATCAGATAGGGTTTGATTGAATTCAGATAGATTGGTTTTTATTTATTTATTCAATTTATCACTGACAACAGTTTTACAAGTTTTTAAAATTCATAAATTAGTTACACAACTATAATTAGTTGTTCAGTCAAAAAATTAACTTCATTTAGATTTTTTTTAATATTGTTAACCTGTTCATTAAAAAACTAAATTAAATAATTTAATCAAATTACAAATGTATGCAACAGTAATATTTTTTAAAAAGTAATTTTTTTTGCAGTTATACAACTTATTAGATACAGATAAATCATTAATATTATCACTTAAAAAAATACTAAAAATAACAAGGGGAAATACAAATATACCAGTCAATGCCACCATATTAATGAATGCCACTAGTACAATTTATGTATTATTACTTGTAAATTGTTAATAAATTATATCAACAATAATTTAAAGAAATCATGAATTTTAAGAGTTAACACGACTAAACCTAGCCATTTAAGAAATAATAACACAAATCAAATAACAAAATTTTCAAAAATTTATTTGTGCCATACACTGGTAGTTCTTTTCTTTGTGATGATTTCGTTATGAAAAATTAGAAACATTGCATCATTAAATATAGGAGAAAATAACCATTTATTAAGTATTAATTATAAAATTGTAGCTTTATATTTATAAATGTAGGTGATGTTTAATACATCATCCAACAGTTAGAATTTTGAAAAAATATGTAGTTAAAATCTAAACCAGTTAGAGCCAAAAAACCAAGATGCCTCATAAAAACATTCAGATTTTGAACAAATGAGAAACAAATATAACAGATAACAATTATTTATTAATATGAAGATGACATAACACAATATTAAATGATGAATTCTAACTAAATATTCATCTATTTGAATTTTGATAAAACTAATTCAGTGTAGCCATTATTAGCTCAATATAACATTGTAGCTATTTACATTTGGAGTAAAAAAATGTTATTACCATGATAGAGTAGTAGATGCACATAGTTGTTTTTGTAGCATTGGTGTCTTCCAGTCATGACAACTCTTAAAATGTATGATAGGTATCTTTAAATTATTATTTATACTGAGAGTGAGGTCACACGAGGGTTTTATTAACGGACGTTATGACGGTTGAAATTCATTACAACCATACCTAGTAACCACACAGTCTGTTGGATTTACTGTCCGTTGGTGATAGGCAAGACATACTATAACGCCCGTTACGATTTGCTTATCAGCGTTGTAGATTGTTATTAGATTCAATTGACAAAGACAAACGAATAATTTTCAAAGCAGTATACGCAAAAATCGCAACCTCTTCGTCATCCATTTTGATGATAACTGATGATGTTCCTAGCTAGTGTGACCGGAAAAGTAACGACCATAAATAACGTCCGTTAATAAAATGCTCATGTAATCTCACTATTAGTGTCCATTTTTTTTTTTTTTTTTGAAAAGACATCTATTTAGATTTTAAAGAAAAAATTAATTTTAATTTTCACCACCAATTTAAAAAAAAAAAATTGTTATTATTTAATTTAAAAAATTTTTAAAATAGCCATTTAGTAATTAATGTATATTATTCTAAAAATTTTAATGTATCATACTTTCATATCTGATCAATAGTTTCTTAGTAACAGCAATTTTAATTTTTAGAGAAAAGATGAAAATGAGACCATGTTACATGATAAGGAATGAGTTGATTTATTTTAAAATGTTAGAAATTAAAACAGCTCTTACTAAAAAAAACTATTGATTGGGTATGATAAATTAAAATGTTTAAAATAATGTTTTTTTCAAAATGGATATTTTAAAAATCTTGTAAATTAAATAAATAAAATATTTTTTTTAGTGGTTAAAATAAAATAAAAAAATACAATTTTTTTCTAAATAGATATCTCCCTTAAAGAAAATCAAATAAGACAATTATTTAAAAAAAAAAAAATTAAATATTAACAGCTTTAATAAACTCTGTCAACATATGGGACACTGTATAAACTAGTGACATTTATTTATATGGCGACACTGGTCTTTACTTTAGATCCCAATGTATGTGGTTCCCAATACAAAAAGCTCATAGATAGTACATAAAGCATAGTAAAATCCAATAATAAAAATAATCACTGCGCATAGGTATTAAATTATATTTTTGTGCATTAAATGTCCATGTAGTTTTTTAATAATTTTGATAATAAAAAACTATTAAAATAATGTATAAGCATGTTTTATTGTTTGATACGTAAAAAAAAAGTTATTAAATCAATTAGTATGTAAAAAATTTCAAAATGTGTGATAGGTAAATGGATATAAAAAGGTTAGGAACTGTTGTTTAGATTTAGAAACAATAAGATGCAAAACCAACTTATTAAATTCAAAAAAAAAATGCTAAAGTGTACTTTACCATACTCCTTCAAAAATTTCAAAATTTTTTTTTTGAAAGATGTGTTTTTAAAAATGTTTTTTGGAAACTATTACTTAATGCAAAAAAAAAACTTCAGGACTTTATCCAAGTAACTACATTATTTTTAATTTAAAGTTGAAAAGTGAGAGAACAGAGTTGGCCGAAGGTCTGGTCTTGTGTAGCGAGAGTTAAGTGTACAGTTAGAACACTATCCTCCTTGCAGCTGTACCAGATTGAAAATGCTAGAGTACAAAAATTAACAATTTAAAGTTTATGGTTTTATAATGATTTAGCTCATGAAGGTCACCAAAGACCTGGTTTCACATTTTTGGTTCTTTTTTTTTTTCATGTTATGTGACAAAGTTTTGCCAACAAACATTGTCCAAAATTGTGGTAGGCAGGGTCGAGAAGTCTAAGCCCACTCAAAACGTACAAACATATAAATTAGTCCCCTTCAAATTACTAATTTAAGAGGGCTAATTTCTCTATTTATATGTTTTGTATGAGGGGCTTAGACCCCTCAAGGCTCCCTACAATTTCTGCCAATGTCAACAAATCTAGGATTTAATTTAGATTTTTATAAAACTTCTAAAATAATAGTTAAAAGAAATTTCTGAGTACACTATTATTTTCAAAGTGAAAACTTCATCTGTTATAAAAAAAGGTTTGAAGTTGAAATACGGCATTTCAAAAATTCGAAGTTTTTTTTTTAGATTGTTTGATCATAACAGCTACAATGTTTCTAAACAAAAACAAAATGTTTGTTTTAAAGTCGCGGCTCAAGTATTATAAGTACAATCCGCTGTTTACTTAAATTATTAGTAGGTAATAATATAAAAAGCAGTGATATAAAATGTCAAAGAACACCAGCGATTTGTTTATGTACATATTGTTAGTTATTATTTTGACCTATGAACTAATCGAATTCTACTAAGGCCGCGGTCTTTGTTAAAACACCCGCCTCCCCCTCACCACTTTCCCCGTAGATGTAACTAAATACTACCGATATTATTTATGCGTACATTTCGCCGACAATTTATAGAAAACGACGTTGTTCCGCGAAAGTACCACGGCAATTATAAATACGCCTGGGCAAGTCGATTATTCAATCAGAAATTATAATTTTTAATATTGTCGGACGGGAAAACCGAAAATGGACAAAGACAAGAACAATATAATTATTATTATTATTAAACGTGCGACTCGCAAACCGTACTTACGCGTTTAAGTTTTCTGACGACGGACGCGAAACAGTTGCGTGTTGACCCTCGGAAGAACGGCACACCAAATGACGTGAGCGAGCGCGGACTCGGGTTCGTAGCGAGGACAAAGCGGCGACGCGCACTTCTCGAACGACCGACGACGACGGCGATAACGACGGTTGGGCTAGGCGTTGCTGAAAACGGACTGGAGCGGGATTGGTCACGAACAGCACACAATATTTGTATGGCACGGTATCGAAAAAGAATTATAACGCTCGGGGCTTTCGTAATACGAATTTACACAGTGCAACAGATTACCGATAAATACATTCAGATAAGGCGCAGTACGTTTTATTTTTATTTTATTTTTTTTTTTTTTTCCCAATACTGTTTCCCTGCTCTTGTCTTTGTCAACAGTGCGCGCGCAAACAACATGAATCGCAAGCGACGGTTTCGACCCGCGACCCGCGGAAATCGAACGGCCGACCGTCCGCGCGACGCGGCGGGGGGCTGGGGGGAGGGGACATCGGTGCGTTCCGCGCTCCGATAAATAATGCATACTGCATAGTGTCAAACCGCCTTCCGCAGCTATTATCTGTTCGATACGTCTGTCTGTTGGACGTTGAAGCGTACCACCGTGCCTACCGTCTATCGTCCGCACAGCCGCACGTCCGCAATAAGTACGTACCTACGATCTAATTTTTTGCTCGGCGTGTTGTTTGTATTGTTAATCTGTTTACGTTTAATTGCTATTTTTACAACCGACCATTGTGCCGTTGTGCGCAGCGTTCGCTGTTGCCCGTCCCGTCATTGTTATTTACCATCACCAGGTCGAGCCGCATTAGTTCTGCTCGGCGCGCTTTGTTTCGCGTTTTGTTTGTGTCGTCCAATTCGTTTTGTCCGCCGCGCCATTAGTCATACGCCATTACTCGTAGTCTTGTTTCACCGTCTGCTCCGAATTCACGTCTGTTTTTCTTTTCTTTGTTTTTTTTTTTTTTCCAGTTTTGCCATTGTTGGTAATTTCTTTTTCGTTCCGTTTCGAACAACAAGCCGGCGAACATCATGTTCAAACTGGCATTACTCGGCGTCGCCGTTCTTTTCACGGCCAGCCAAAACGGCGTTCAAGGAAAAATGACATGTTAGTGTGCAAAACTCTATACGTTTTATTAGTTATTATTTTATTGGCTATTATTAATCGCACTGTTGTTTTACAGGTAAACTACCTCAGGTTGTAATTCCCGATGATTGGATCACAATGGTTGACCCTTGCGTGAAAAAAATGAAAGAACAAGTTCAAGAAGAACTCACAGCCGCCATGACTTATTTCGCCATGGTAAACATGTTTTGAATCTATATAATTTTTTTAATGAGTACAATTATTGTGTTTCATGAAAGTGTCTATTTAACCTTTGGTCGTTTTATTATTATTTCTTTAAATCGAATACATTTTTTTTTTTTCTCAATACCAAGACATTAGGCACTTTAATTCACAAGGCTTATCTAATTATACATCATTATTTTAAATTACTTTCACTTTCTAACTCGACCATATTAATTGTAGCTGTCAATGCTCTCTATTGTGATAAAGAAAATGTTCACTATTAAAATCAATATATTCAATTAAAAAATATAACTCGAAATTCACAACATTATAAAGTTGATTAAACAACACCATTAGTTGATATTTTACAGTCGTATTATTTTGTATTACTTATGTATTTTTAGGGAGCACATTTCTCCAAAGATACAGTTAACCGTCCGGGTTTCGCTAAAATCTTTTTTGAAAGTGCCAGCGAAGAACGTGACCATGCAATTAAAATCATTGGCTATTTGTTGATGCGAGGTGGTTTAACTAAGGATATTGCTCAATTGATTCGTGACCCTGTGTGTATAATAATGAATTTAAAAATTTATACTTGTGTGGGTAAGTTTATTTTACTGATTTATTTATTTCTATTTAATAGCAACCTTTGTCCGAAACGTGGGCCGATGGTTTAAGTGCATTGAAGGATGCATTAAAATTAGAAGCACATGTTACACGTAAAATAAGGGACATTGCTTCCACTTGTGAAGAACCCGGCCGTGATGGACAAGACTTCAATGATTATCATGTAAGTGTTTCACTACAAATAGATACTTCTGCCAATTCAAACACTGCTCATTTATCATCAGTTAAACGGTATCATTAATAATTTTATTACAATTGTGAATAGTTGGAAAAGTGCTTTGATAAAATTTCATAATTAATAACCATACTATGTTTATTCTTTTTGATTTTGTTGTATACATTATCAATTTGATTAGTGCCTAAAATCACTTTAGTTTCATTAACTTAAACCAGCATATATATTAAGTAGATTCACAACATGGATATATGTAGTACTTGGGAATTATTATTATTATAATATGAATATGATTATTAACTTGTTTACTGTATTATCTCTGAAAAATAATCTTAAGTATTTTTAAACAAAGAAGGTGTATATCTATGAACAAAAAAAAAATTGCCAAGATTTGAAAATTATCATTAGAATTTTGATATTTGTATTATTAAACAGCTCTTATTAATTAATTAAATTCATTGGCGTTATAGTTGATACTATTTATGCTATTAGTACCTCTTTATTATTGTTATTTATTTGGGTACCCACTTCTAGTACCCATATAATATATAAAACACTGCATAAGATATTTATATAGAATTTTTCTATAGATTTAATCAATTTGATTTTACAAGTATTGTAACTGACTGTATTTATGTTTGTTTCTAAGTACTTGATTTTATTTTAATCATTTTTAGTTGGTGGATTATTTAACTGGAGATTTCTTAACCGAACAATATGAAGGTCAACGTGACTTGGCAGGTAAAATTTCTAATCTTGGTAAAATGTTGGAGTCCCACGGAGCTCTTGGCGAATTCCTCTTCGACAAAAAACTTTTAAATGGAAATTCAGTTTAATCTAACTTTTACAAACCACAAACCTTCAAATTATATTTTATTATGCCATATATCAAATTATTATATTTATAGTTAATATTTATACTTATATTATATTGAATTTATTTTATTATATTTTCCTTAATTTAATAATGTACTTTATCAACATATAGTTTAAATTAGAAAGATTCATTAAAATTGAAAAAAATTGCCATATTGTATTACATGAGTTTCAGATTTTTCTATTGTACTGTAAGATAAAATTACTATTTATTTTTTAAATATGTGTTATTTATGTTACATTATTATATACCATACCTAATTATATATTTTGTATTCTTTGGTATTATTTTATAGATAAAATAATTAAAAACAAAAAGCTATTGAATAACACTGAATGACTTTTATGTTCTAAACCTACCTAATAATTTTAATAAAAAAAAAAATTTAATCACTTAACGATCAGTAAAGCCGAGTAGTAAACTGGGCGAGAATACTACCGTTAGGAAAGTTAGTCATGATCACTACCTGGTGTGAACTGGTAGTTGTGGTAGTGAGAGTCGTCAACGACCAAAAATAGATCGGTCGTGATTACTCTGACATGTTGGACTGAACACGACCTGTTTAGTCGTGAAACACTCACCAAATATGAAACTAGATGTCAGCGGCGGTTTGTTTCTGGTCGCGATGCCTTTCAGACACTAATTCGTGTGAACTGGAGGTCGTATATTATTAGTCGTGAAAATCAAGCAGTCGTGAGACATGCGCAGAACGAGTAGTATTCTTGACCAGTTTACGACTCCGTGTGAACCTGGCTTAAAAGTTAAATAATGTTGAATTATACATTTTAGTTCAACACACAAACCTATTAAAATATGTTTTACGTAAGTAATTGTTTGTGTTCTTAAAATGATATTATTACTTAGCTCTAATGGAGCTTCTTTAGTTTTATTCGAGATGAAAAAAAACTTGTAAAGTCTTGTTTGAATTTTACAGATGATGCATGGTTTTTAAAAATATCTCCAAAATTATTAACTTGCTTAAAAATTAAAGATATAACATTATTTTATCTGTCTATAGTAACGTTTTACCATTTAAATGGTAAAATTAATAAATCATAAATTAGGGTCATAGAGGTTCTTATGGTGGGTCCCAAAAGTATGTTTCACATATTTTTTCATCTTAAGTGAACTTTCAAAGATTCAACCAAATTTACATTAGATGACTTAAAATTCTTTCTTCAAAAATAATTGGAAAAATTACAGTTTGAACCACAAAACAGAAAACTGTTAATTCAGTTGGGTAATAAATCCGTTTAAAGTGTTTACCTATAAATTTAGTTTAGATACTTGTAGTTGGAAACTACCGATTTAACCGATTATTCCACTTATATGTGTTTGGCATATTCAATATCAAAATGAACCTATTATATTCAAAATTGCAGGTTTTTCTTGTAATTTTCAGGGTAATTACACAATTACTCATAACTGGAATATTAATGGCTTTAAATATACTGAATAAGTGAACTATGAAATATAAGGACCACTGTATACATAACTATGATAAAAACTAAAATTGATGTTTATAAGTTCTAAAAGTATTTCAAAAAAAAAATTGATGCTAAAAGGCACAATGAGTTAATTTTTATAGGCAAAAATAAAATGTATAAATATACAATGAATATTATTTTTTTTTTCAAATAGAAACTGGATTATCTAATTATGTTATTAACAAAATATTTGAAATTAGCAGCAGGCTTGTTTGGGAAAGAAGTATTCAATATAATATTACAAAGTGATAAAATATAGGTAGGTACCTATTTTGAAAGTAAATGGGTACCTACTAATTTTGTGTTATTTGGTTTCTATCAAAATTTGTTAAGCATATTATTGTTTCTACCAACAAATTGATACTTACTATCCACTATTTCTTAGTTACAGTTTTTGTTATGTGATTTTGTTTTGGTTTAAAGTAAAGAATTTCTATTATCTAATACAGTGTTTCTTAATGTTATTTTATTAGTGTAACAGTTGTTGATATGCATTTTTATCATGGAACTCCTACTTTGTTTTAATCATTTTAACGCAAAATTGTGTACCTATAAAGAATATTTGTAATAAAAATATCAATTATTTTAAATAATAATAATGTTTATTTAACTAACATATTTTCAAATTAAACTAAAAGTTCTTAAAATAACAGACAACTGGACATTTTAATTTTAATGAAATATATGGTATTGCTGTTTATTATTACAGATATATTTAATATTAAGACTTTATATGGATGAATTTTGAATTCTCATGTCATGTTTGTTTTTGTTGATATAAGCTAGAATCCCTGGTTCACTCAAATAAGTGATTGCAAATGAAGCCAACACGACCTTTTGTGACAAACAGTTGAATATATTCATCTTTTAAACTGCACCAAAATTCCACTTATGGCATTAATTTAAATGTTTTTTGCAATTATGCATCAGATGTCATTTCAATAAAAATATGATACCTACTCCTCTAATTGATATGGTTGATATGGTTAGGTTAAAGAGTTATTTAATCCATAATTTATTTTTATATTTAATCTGCTGTTCATTTGAAAAATAAAGATTAAATGCTTCACTCAATATTTTATTTTAGAAATAATTCACTCGTTGAAGTGAATAAATATTTTTAAAAATTCTAACTTTTTTTTGAAAGCAAGAATTAATATTTTCGTAAGCAATAAATTCGTATTTATTTCAATTTACATACGACCTATCTGTTTGACCTAAAGGGTGAAATTAGTTTCATTTTTCTTTGTAAAAATGTCATTTAAATGGTCAATTTTAACAAGGAATTGATCGTTTAATTAAAAATGGTGTTCTGAAAAAAATGTCGCGGAACGCTCACATGATTTCCACAGAACCCCGGGGTTCTGTGGAACACAGTTTATGAAACACTGTATTCCAATGAATGACATAAGTGTAAATAAAACATTTATTTTAAACGCCATAGGCCTAAGTGATTTATGATGCCTAGGTACTGTTAGAAAAATAATCCGTTTACCTAGGTGGTACCTACATAATATATAATTAAATTTACATCTGGCTAGTTGGGTAATCAAAGTATCAGGTATACGTGTGTGATCTCTTGACATTAATACCTACACACAATTAATTTTAATCATGTATCGTTTTAAAAACGATAGGTTCGTCAAGTGCCTACTCATAAAATTAATCATATTTGTACGCAAACGTATGCAAGTTGTGATATTTGCCATTGTACGTAGATATAAGTAGGTACCTACGTGAATTAACACACGACATGCAAGAGATCAGTATACATTATACATTTATAATCTATATAATATACTTAGACCTAGGAACAGCAGGTACTTGAAAAATAATTGTTATCAGAACTAAATAACACTTTATACAAAGGCAGGTACATACCTACACATTTTATTATCTTTCATGTGTGACCGTGTCTGTAATTAATTGTACAGATATTGTATAGGTAGCTAAACTCATTAAAAAAAAAAATAATAAAAATTACACTCAGATTTTTTTAATATTTAAAAAAAAAATCAGTTACCTACCATATTATAAAGTATTAAAGTACCTGTGTAGGTAGGTAAATATTTTGAATATTGGCGAGTATCTATATATTTTTATTCTATACCTATACTCAAGTCTACTTATATGCAAATAATATCTCTCTATTTTATAAAATAGTAATCTGTGAAACAAACATTGCAGTATTTTATCGCACTGCTATACAATTATAATCAAACAATAGAAAGACATTATTAAGGTTGGACAATAATGAAGGTTCATTTTAAAAAAAAACTATTATATATAGATTCACACATTTATTGATAAGTTTTTTTTTAGTTCATTCCATCAATCGTTAAACACATTAATTTTCTCCTAATAAATTCAGATTTTAATGACATGTCCCGCCAGTTTTATTTTATTCATATTATTTGTATAGTTGTTAAAATAACATTCACATACATGATGATATGGAATGTTGAGCGAAACGATCAAATAAAAATAAATTTCCAGACAATATAATATTACCTATATAATAGTTAATAGGCACTTAAAACATAGCAGCAAGTGTACCTACTAATGCCAAATAAATTGTAATTACACATATCAAACTGTGGTGTACAGAATGTAACAACTCAGCAGCTTTAATTTTTAAATTATTGTTTTCTTAAAAGTTTAAATATGCCGGTATATTGTACCAGTTCAATTGTCGGTATACGGAGCATAATTTCCACAGATAAAAAAAAAAAAAAAAAAACCAATAGGTCCGTCGCTATGCTCCGAATCTAAAAGAGCTGGTACTCTACACGGGATTATATTTAAGGAGATATTTGGATAGACTGTGACTAAATTCCATAAATCGTCAATTAAATTTTATAATCTTGTCTATGTTTGTCATGGATGAAATGTACAACTACCACAGCGAGTGGAAAATGTTTTAGTTAAAACTAACCCAACCATTTTGCACAGGTACCTATATAAGTTGCGTACGTTTCGTCCAAACGTATTTTAGGCATTTTAAAATTAAGTTAACAATGGTTTTTAATAAAATTATTTAGTATTTATTACAGTAGAAAAAATATAATATTATACAATATACCTACTCGGTTTATGGATACTACGGTTTTTTAAATAACCACAAGGAAGAAAAACGCACAATATATTTCATTGTAATATGCTTATCTTTGTAGCAGTAACGTAATAAAATCCATCGATAATACCATTGATTAAATATACATTATACATATACATTGTATATTTAATCAATGATAATACCTACTAAATATATTACTCTACTTGCTATCAAGGTTCGTTATCTATGTTTCGTATAGTTGATTATTAATACAAAGGAGTTTCCACATTAATATGAAAATACCCAACAGTACTTCGTAACTACCTCTGTAGATGATGTATAAGTTTGTAGTAGCCGTCAATCGAGATCCGAATTGTATTATTGGACTAGTTAATAATTATCCTTAGTAAAAACAATAATTTATATCATAGTTAATAATTTATAATTCAGTATGAACTTACAGATTTTGAGTTTAGCGAAGAATGTATTGTGGTTTTACAAAGATGTTTATTTTTTTTGTATGTGAACACTTTCTACCAGAAAGCTTACTCTGATTTCCAAGTTTAGCACCTTTTCTCAAAGTATTCTCTGGGTGGTACTTTAGAGAGGTCATGTTTTGGAATTCTCATTAATATTCAAAATAACGAGGAAATCCTAGTTCTTTAGGTTAAAAATATTAAAAAAATAAGGTTGTCATTGAGAACCGTTTTTATTTATTTTTGTTATTATTAAGTTATTATTATTTCAATATTTTTTAATTGATCATTTTGAACATTGTTGTAATTAT